AGGGCCTGAGCTTCGAAGAAATGGTCACGCAGAGCCAAACCCTCATTGTCGCGGGCAGTGAAACCACTGCCACTGTTCTCTCGGGCATGATGTATTATCTCCTCACCACCCCACGCGCATTGTCGCGGGTGACGCAGGAGATTCGTACGGCTTTTTCCAACGAGCGGGACATCACTGTTCACCGCGCCGCCCGGCTCCCATATCTCCACGCTGTGCTCGAGGAATCGCTTCGCATGTATCCTCCCGTGCCCGGCATACTGCCTCGAGTCAGTCCGGCCCCGGGGCAACTCGTCTGCGGTCAATTCGTCCCCGCGGGGACTTCCGTTGGTCTCCATCACTGGGCATGCTACCGATCAGCGCGCAATTTCAGCGACCCGGACACATTCTGGCCGGAGCGATGGATGGACGGCGAGGATGGTGCACGGTTTGCGAAAGATGATCGAGGGGCGTTTCATCCATTCTCTTACGGGCCCAGGAACTGTCTGGGAAGGAAGTAAGTGCCGCCTGCTTCGATTCGTTTAACTGATGAAGGTCCTAATGGAAGCTTAGTCTCGCATATGCGGAGCTGCAGTTGATCGTGAGTAAGTTGTTCTGGAACTTCAATGCGGAGTTGATGCCGGCAGGGGAAGGGTGGGCCAATCAGCGGACTACATCGCTTTGGATGAAGAAGGCGTTGCCCGTGCGGTTAATTCCGCGGCAATACGAGGAGGTCGAGCGGGTATGATGATCAATTCGCTGGGCGCTGGGTCGTAGTCAGTGGTGATGATTACTTTGAGGGGTGATTCTAGTTTTCTATCCCATTCACTTATCCAAGACTGCCTGGCCCATGGTTATTCGTAGCAAGTACATTGCACTGAGTATTTTCACCTCACCCCGCTCCGTGTCTATGCTATACCCACTAGCACATGGACCACTTATCTACCCTACCTAGGCGAGCTCCGATCGGCCCAAGCCAGGCATCATCTCATGCATGAAATCTGTATGGTACTATCGAACCCCTCCCGTGACTTTCGGCCACCCCGAAACCCTACCCGACCATAACTCGGGAAAGAGTAGCCGAGATGCGCCCTCGCAGACTGACTACCAAGAGCATCAGCAAGAGCATCAGCAAGAGCATCAGCAAGAGCATCAGCAAGAGCATCAGCAAGAGCATCAGCAAGAGCATCAGCAAGAGCATCAGCAAGAGCATCAGCCTCAGCCTCAGACCTACTACCTAGTACTCTGAACAGTACCATCCGTGCCACGTCATATCCTCAGTCGAATCCACCATCCCTACCACTTCCACCAGATTCCGGCAAAATCCAAGACCAGCCAGCGTATTGCTCACCTAATCTCCTCTAATTGAATAAGTAACTGACTATGGATTGAGTTTTTATCAGGTCGATTAAGACATGATTTCCAGATAAGGGGAGAAAGTACGGAGTACTTGGTACTTTAAACCTAATCCTGATACTGACCCGGATAAACCCCCCCCTGCCTGTCAACTGAGCGGAAGTATGCTGGGTGGGGAGATTGGTGCCGACAAACTTGCTATTTTCGAGACCGATCCAGACACCCCTACTGTTGATCTAACTATCGCCTCAATGAGTCAATACCCGTCGTATATCGGATATCTATTAGCATGAGAAGTGAGCCGTAGGTGATTTATGTAGTTGATCTGGTCACATAACTCTTAAAGCATAAGCATACTCGACCCCATAGAACGAAAAGCGGTCGGTCGGGATCTCCGTCCCGACCAGAAACAACAACACCACAGAGTCACCAGAGGAACCTCGACCACCAGGTACGATAATGCAATCGACGATTCAGCACGCCACTACCTACGGTAGTAAAATCATCCCACAATGCTTGGCTCGGGTAAAATCGACGAAAAGTCATCACCTACCCACCAACCAGAAAGCCATGGGGATTAAAAATAACAACAAGGCTGAAAATTCCTTCGCTTCTCGCTCACTCACTACGATCCACTCCACTAGGAAGTAACTCAACGCTAGGGACAATGAACGAACAACGTGGCTTAGGCTAGACGCCCAAAACACTAGGCCCATGTCCATAGCACATACGTTAGACAACAGAGTGGACCGCAAGAGAGCCGCGCCCTCAGCTTACTTATCTTGAGTGTGGTGTTCGTTGCCGGGTCAGATTCCCGCAAAAGCAACTGCTAACTTCTAGTGTGATCACAGCCTTGTATAGACGGTACACTAGCAAATCCTGCTCGTTCAGCCCAAAGTTCCTTAGCGGAAGGCGTGGGGGCTTGACGCTTGACGCTTGAAGCTTTTTTTCTTGTTTGTTGTCGGTGTTTTTAGCCTCCTTGTTGTTCGACTGCCACACCACCGGCAAGAATTTCCTTTCTCTTCGGTGGGGAAGGAAAAAGTCCAGAACAAAATGATTCTACACAACCCCTGACTTACCTTTTTCTTGGATGTATCATCGAGGGGAAATAATCAGGTAAAAAGTCGATCAAGGCTAATATCGCCATCTTCGTTTGGACTACTCCGTACTTACCTCAGATTTGAAATAAGAATAAGAAAGATACAAGTGGTGCGCAGGATCGTCCGCTTACTTGCTCTCTGCCCGGAATGGGGCCGAGCTGAGCCATTCTCCCATGGCCGGCCTTCTGCCCTAATTCCCATTCCCGCATCATGGAATCATGATACCCAATACTACATCCAACATAGAGCGTGATCATCACAGGATCCCGAGGCTGTGTCCGTTCGCTATACTTGGTAGTTAGGTATCTACTCCGTAGCTACGTTGGATTATACCGACAGATTGAATATACCACAATCCCTGCAGGGAAAACTTTAGGACCCCGCTATCTCATGTCATCACCACCACCACCACCACCACTATCACCATCATCGCGCAGGGAATGCCCGTCAGAACCAATCGGCTACTGCGGCCCTGGTCAGCACTAGCAGTGCCCAAACATTCCCCCAGAACCCACTTTCAACTCAGCCATGCTCTTGGATCTGGACAGCTAAATGGCAGAGGTGGAGTGTTCGTATCGCACTGGGGCCGGCGCACCTCTGCTGAGCGTTAAACATGGCGAGGGCCCGACGGGGAAGCAATAACCTATAACTGAGTTAAATACTCTCCTGCCTGCAGGGTTCTTGTATACCATTTATCTGCTTTTTTCTTTCCCCGTTGCACCCACGGTTTCTTTAAACGATAATCGACAGCTTCCGGATTTTGCCGTCTGTTGATTCACATCTGATAAACCCCTTTGAGCAATCCGCTTCACATCCGTGATACAGCTTTCTTTACCCAGCCAGCTGAGCTACTTCCAACCCCCGGCTCAGCAGCAGCCATGAAGAAGGACGACCTAGAGTTCCAGCGCCTGCACGAAAAGCCCGATACCTCATCGACCACCGAAGACTTCAAGACCCTCTTCCCCGTGACAGATCTCTCGCGTGGGCTCGTGGGGTGGGATAGTCAGGATGACCCGGCCAACCCCCAGAACTTCCCCACTTCCAAGAAGTGGACCTTGTTGGCGCTCATCAGCTCCATCACCTTCATCTCGCCGCTCGCGTCGAGCATGTTTTCCCCGGCCATCGAGTTCGTGGCCAAGGAGTTCATGGTCACAAACCAGACCTTGCTCTCCTTCAGCGTAACCATCTTCCTGCTCGGGTTTGTGGTATGTAGGAGTCAGTTTGTCCCCTGAGACGCACTCAAAAAACTGACCATTCCAGTTCGGCCCTCTGCTACTCGCCCCGCTCAGTGAGATATACGGCCGTCGGGTCGTCCTCAGCGGCGCGAATTGGTTCTTCGTCGTCTGGCAGATCGGCTGTGCCCGGGCCCCGAATATGACCACCCTCATCGTGTCGCGCTTTTTCACCGGCATCGGCGGCTCGGGCTGCGTGACTTTGGGCGCCGGGGTCATCGCGGACTTGTTCCCAACCGAGCTGCGCGGTCGGGCCACTGCCATTTGGGCCATGGGCCCTCTCGTGGGGCCCATCATTGGCCCCATCTGTGGTGGCTTCGTCGGCGAGACGATCGGCTGGCGCTGGGTCTTCTACCTCTTGATTATCAGCGGTGCGGTCATCTCGGCCGGGATCGAGGTCCTGAACCAGGAGACGTATGCGCCCCTCTTGATCCGATGGAAGACGGCGCGGCTGGCCAAGGAGCTGGATCGGGTCGACCTTCGCAGCGTCTACGATGTAACCGGCAGTATGCACCAAGCACCGCCCTCGGCCCGTCGGGTTCTGGTGCAGGGACTGAAGCGGCCTATGGTGCTGTTCTGCAAATCGCCCATTGTGCTCCTTCTTTCCGTCTACATTGCGTTCGTGTACAGTCTGCTGTATCTATTCTTCACCACCGTGACATCCGTCTTCGAGGAGCGATACGGCTTCTCCACCGGTCTCGCAGGCCTCGCGTACATCGGCATCGGCATCGGGTTCTTCATCGGCCTGTTGACGGTCTCACTGACCAACGATCGCATGGTCATCAAGCTGACCGCGCAGAATGGCGGCAAGTTCGAGCCCGAGATGCGTCTGCCGCTGATGATCATCTTCAGCTGCATCATCCCCATCACCTTCTTCTGGTACGGCTGGTCGGCCGAGAATGCGCAGAAAGTCCACTGGATCGTCCCCATTATCGGCATGATCCCCTTCGGTGTGGGCATGCTCGGCATCTGGATGCCCGTCCAGACCTATGTCATCGACGCATATCCGGCCTATGCGGCCTCCGCAAACGCCACCATGACAGCCTCGAGATCGCTTATGGGCGCCTTGCTACCTCTGGCGGGTCCTACCATGTTCCGCAACATGGGCATCGGATGGGGTAACTCGCTGTTGGGGTTCCTGGCCTTGGCGTTTGTGCCGGTCCCGTTGCTGTTCAATCGATACGGCAAGATGATCCGCGAGAGGTTTCCGGTTGACTTGGATGGATGATCCGTGGCCGCGAGGACGATGTAATGACCCTTTTAACATGTTTTGATAGACTTCCGTTGCTCCCACATAGAATATAGACTCTACTTCATAATAACATTCGTTCATCAATCACAGGACCTCATACACAATAGACTGCAGGTCAACCCCTGTCAAAATACTGGGGTAGCTTCGAATGACGTCAGGGGTGAGTCCCCATCCCTCGATAGTCATGAACGTCTCGTAGAAGCTGCGTCGGATGCGGAGTTGATCCTGATCGTCGCGCTCGAGAATGCTCTCACCCCACGGCCAGCGGACCTTGATACAACAGGCCAGGAACCCAAAGAGATCGTCACGCTGACCCTCGTAGATGTGCCAACGACGGATCAGATTGGACCGAATTTGCGGCCAGATCATGAGGTCGATCGACCCAAGGTGGGGAATATTGATCTGGTCGAGATTCGGGTGCATGAAGGTCGGCAGCCGAGCGAATCGGCTGGGACTGGGCGAGTACATCCACTTGAGAAGGTGGTAGGCCAGCCACCCACAGGCCAGGCGCTCGGGGTCGCGCAGCGGCCGTCGCTTCGTGGTGCGGAAGACTAGGTCTGCCAGGACGTTGGTCTTGGAGCCGTACAGGAGATCCAGCGGAGAGGAGGGAGAATCCGGGGATGCTCTGATCTGCTCCTGGTAGGCCACCCAGTTCATGTACGGGGCTGATGGGTCATCGTTGGCCAGTGGAATGCGTTTCCAGAGCGGCTCTAGTGAGTTTGCTGACTCGAGGGTAGGATAAACAGTAGCTGCGAGTGGGGGCAGCGGGGGCAGAATTGGAGCGATCGGAGGGATGGGAAGAATTCTTCTACTCGCTTCCAACGGGTCTATCAAGCTGCGCGAGACTGCTGTCGGCGGTGGTGGCGATGGTAGTGGAGGACGCAGACTCTCGACATCGGCCGCCTCGGGAGTATGAGCCGGACCCGTGGGAGCTTCCGGAGACGTCAGCGCATCGATGTCCCAGGATTGCAGGAGAGTCTTCAGCTGCTGTTGACGCGCGAGAAGAGATGCATTCTGTTTCCGGAGACTCTCTATCTCTCGGGATCGCTCTTGGGCGCCATCGTCCGTGTGGTGTTGCCGACAGTGAGCGACTTGCTCCTCTAGCCGTTCGAGGCGATCTTCGAGGCGACTGAGATACTGCAGCTTTTTACTTCGAGAATTCTGCTGTGCCCGTCGATCGCGGAGGCGCTTTTTCTCCGCCGAGCTCAGATGGCTGTGATCCGACATTTGAGCCACATTCTTCAGAGATGTCGGACGTGTTCGACAAACATTGAGGTTCGAGACAAGGTGGAAGGTGATCATCCGTGACAGCCCAAGTTATGCAGCCAATCGGTACATCGGTCACGTGTTCTGGGTTATGCTCGCTTTTGAGAATTATGCACGATAGGCAATCTACAGGAAAAGGTAACTGCACTCAATTGACTCCCTTCAAGTGGCTAAAATCAAGGGCATGTATTCACATCACTTAAAAAGGTCTTGGTTGATTGAAATCTTGAAATGTGACTTCGCAGCATTGAAGATCGAATCTCAAACCCCAGACCCACCCATCAGTTGCAGGATATGGCCCCTGTTTGATCGGATGTCTGTGTTCGTAATTGAATGCGCTATTGGCCAGCAGTGAGACATGAATAGTCAAGTGTGTATATAACTCGGGCATGACCTTAGATGAGCCTATTCAATTCTGTTATAGCCGTCAGGTGTTAAAGCAGGGCAAAGTCTGGAGCTCCAGGTGTTGTACACATTTACATGGTTACAGATTCTACATTGCCGTCAATGTACTGGTAAGTCCTACTTCTACTCCAAGTGTTGGCACTTTTGCTCTCCTTCCGGCTGATACTGCTCTCTACGCTAAGGTGCCTTGCCAATCCGCTCAGCAGCACCTCACTACGGTCCTGGATACTTCACGGGTGCATCCACGCAGTCGATGAGACGCATCGGGCCAGTGGTGTCTCTACGACCAAGCTTGTCGGCGCGCGAGAGACCATACGTTGGATATCAGCATGGCATCTCCGTCCGCAAGTAGCATTCCTCCCGCAGCATAACTACCGGTGTCCCCGAAAGCATGCCGTGCTCTCGCTATTCTTTCCATTGTGTCCCATTCGTATCGGTTCCGACATAAGCTCTCGGGAGCGAATAGCGATGTCGCGGGAGGTGCTATCAAGGTGTCGTGCAATTCGGAATCGGGCGGGTACATTTAGGTCAACCGGTCAAAGTATGTTGCTTCTCTCCAGTTCCCAGGTCTCAACCGAGGTTCGATGTTTATTGAAATTCAAGATGGGTGTTGGGAAACGGAGTCGGGACTGCTGGCGTAGTATTGGTAGCATTGGTAGCGTTAACCGCGCGGACAGGCTTGGACAGTAGTCGTTAATGCGCGGGGAAGAGGGGAAACCAATGGGCCAGAGGGTCTTTGGGATAAGTAAGTCAAAGGGCGTGGCACGGGCGGACAATAGATGGAGGTGTGGACGATGGCGGACGACAGGTGGACCGCGGGGAAGAAGTCAAGTTAGTTCTGCCTCAGGCATTATACAGCCACGTGATGTCAACAACTGTCGTGTCTCAAACTGGTCAAGAGGGGATTATTTTGATCAGTTGTGCATATTGGGGTTTCTAATAGCTCTTGTGTAGAGCAGGAAGCAGGTGCCGCAGGACGGACGAGATAAAGAATCTTCCATTGAGCGAGTTGTGTTCGACATTTTGTGGTGCAAAGACATCCGGCTGTACGATATATACCTTGTCATGGATGGATTGAGCCTCCCTGGAGAACAAAGCAAGCTCTCCCCAAATATGAATTACAGTACAGTACATCGTATTGACTATAAATAAATTCAAGTCTCTCACTTAAGCTGTACTCTACAGCTACTTTAGACCCAAGTGTTATTCACTGCAACTATCAAAGCTATATCTCGATAAAATGTCAACATCGATCTCTCAGGCAACCTCCCCAATCAACACCCGGCAAACCTTCTCCGCACAGCAGCCCAACCCGCCCCAAATACCGTTGCCCGTATCTGATCCGTCACAACCATACAGCACCCCTGTACCGCTCAATACAGGTAACCACCCATCAATACCCGGACTCGGCACGATTGAAGAACAGACAGGACGGATCAGCAACCACAAAATGGTTTCCTGTCAATGATTCATCACACCTGGACCAATTTACCCGTCCGCTAGAACTGATGGTCCGTATCAAAACCCTTCCTTTTCCTTCTCCCTCCATCAAGCAGGGACGTGTGCTGTTCCCACGAACCGACTCTTCCACCTCACGAACTCACCACCCCTGCAATAACATAGGCTTACTGTATCCGTATATCTCAGCCTATTATCCACAACCTGTAGCAAGGATTAGAGAAAAAGGACAGAACCTCTCACATCCCTGCCCATCCGGCGAAGGAGCTTACTGTCCTGTAAAATGCAGGCGTGCAGAAGGAAACCGGCGTATTACCGCGGTTAAGTGGGAAGTTTGTCCGTTGATCGGACCGGAGTTCACTTTTCAAAACTTGTTCTGGGCGTGACGCCGCTGTAATTACACTAGAGAGAATGGTTGTGATTGTGGTTGTGGTGGCTGCATGCATATAATCCATGCATCAGTGCATGAGAGAAAAACTTTTTTTTCGAGGGGACAACAACCTTTGAGATTCATCAATATTGGAAGGCATTAGCATGGATATCCTTTAGGCGATTGAAGAGAGTAATGAAGAATGATGGATAGATGTATCATAATTGATCCATGTTACTGTGGGCTTGAAGATCGAGCGTGCCTAGGTAGGGAGTGACTTACAGTACATACGGTAATCTAGTGCTGGCACTGGTGGGCGAGGGATCCTCCTACACTACCACCCACCCCCCGATACACGCGCACACAGCAATTGCAAAACCTGGGATAAGTGGACAGAGTTCGATGAAGAAAGACGGGTGGGTAGACTACATACAGAGTTAAGAGAGTGGAAACTGCAATCGAGTGTTTTGGAAGATCGATTGAGATCTGATGGTGATTGATAACAATCTCCGTAGGAGCCAGTGCCAGTTAGCTTGCACACAAGACAAGACAGCTAGACCCATCGGCCGCCCCCTCTCCCCGGAAGAACAGGGAAAGGGAGGTTCATCCGTTTTCGACAGCTGGCATCAATCCGTCCCCTTCCACACGCACCCACCACGGGGAGGAGGGAGGGAGGGAGGCTGGAGAGAGCTCTGACCTTCCCTAAATTCCGTCATACCGTATACGACATGTCAGTGGTTCTGATCACTACAATTCGATATGGATTCTCAAGAGCTCTGTTTTGTGCTGAGCTGGAACCACTCCAGATTCAAGCTCAAGCTCAAGCTCATCCTTTTCTACCCCAGAATATGGGGGTTTGTCGGTGATTCTACGATGTCCGTCTCCCTCGTCATCATCGCCATCGATCGTCTACTTGGCTCCCCAAGACAACACAGCGAGTTTTCCAGGCTCAGAAGGATGGGTTTAGAGTGGCCATTTTAACTCTATATGTACAGTGTATATTGGTTGCATGTTGTAGGCGACGACGTGGTGGGGATAAAGGAAATAGGGAGTAGTACATGATATATAAAAAGACCACCACAAAAAGATCAACCTCCTATAAAGAAAGAGAAGTGTCTGTGTGGAAAAAGACCCAGTAGTTCTCAATTTTTTTTGAGGGGGAGAATGAAAAACAGAGAATGGTATAGAATGGAACAAAGAGAAGATAACCGGTTTACCGGACGAGCACGCTCATTAAACCGATTGTTTCATTTGTGGAATTGTTGTACAAGTGATCCAGAAAAAGCTTCGTAGATTTTGTGAGAGTCTTTTTGTGAAAATTGGTTTCGTCATCATCCCATCTGTTCCCTTCCCGTATTCATCTTCTCACAAAAAAAATTCGATCCCTTCCAAGATTTGCCGGACACCGCAAACGCTTCGCTAGGAGATATGATATGCGGCTCGATTGTCGTGGGAGAAAAGTGGTTGCGTTAAATTTAGACGTACTTGCACATCATGGCAACCATCAGGTCGAACAGACCAATGGCCTCGACGAAGGCGAAACCCAGAATGGCGTAGGAGAAGAGCTGACCACGGAGGGCAGGGTTGCGGGAGACGGCGAGGAGGAGGGAGCCGAAGACGAGACCGATACCGATACCGGCACCACCGAGACCGATGGCAGCGGAACCCATACCCAGGTTCTGGGAGACCTGGACCATGGCGTCGGCGATCTCAGAGGAGTACTGACGGCGGCCCTGGGCGGCGAAAGCCTGGCGGGCGCTGGCCTGGAGGAGGCCGGAAGGAGACTGACGCTTGACGGTCTGGAAGGGGGTCATGTTGATCTTCTTCTGGGTGGTGAAGGTGCGCTTGGGGGCGACAGCGTTGAGCTGAACGCGAGCGGCAGGGCGGGCGACCTTGGAGGTGGCAGCCATGGTGGAAGCCAGACGGCTGGCGAAGACACGGGAAGAGGCCATTGTGATGGGGTGGGTGGTCTTGAGAAAGAGACTTGTTTTTTTCTCGAGAAGATGGGATGGGAAGGAAGGAAGGAGAGAAGAAAGAAGAAGAGGAGAAAAGAGGAAGAGGAAGAACTTTTCTGGGAGGAAAACCTGGAGGAAATGTGACAACAGTGACCTTTCCGGGCCATAAATACTTTCCCGCTAAATTTTCGCGTTTTTTACCCTTTCGAGCCCACCAGCCCCCCAGTCGGCTTCCGTTAGTGCGCTTGTTGGGAAGAGAAAAAGCCCTACCCGGGGCCTGGCGCGTGTGTGCTTCCAGTAATTGATTGTCCGCTATCTTACTTGACTGGTATCATACACTGCCATTACCACTGCCTTTACTCCGTACACAGTTCGGGTTCGTTCGGGATGGGGCCAAGCGCGCAATGCTGCCGGTACAGCCAATTGTTCAGGGTCTCTGCCCGGCCGCGCAGGTCCGCTGGCCGTACTATCCACGAGTCGCATTGCGGCGATGCTGCCATTGCGCACCCACTCCTTGCCCATGACCAGGTCCTGTGCTTTCCACCGTATGCCGATATGAAGCAATTGGCTTTACAGTAAGATTACTTGTAACCAGGGTGACCGGGGAAAGATTGACCAAGGGGGGGGGAGGGGTGAGAGGGGGTGGTGGAGAGAAAAAAGGATGGGGAGGGAGGGAGCATTCCCACCCCGAGCTCCCTTCATTCTTCCTTACATATAAAATGGGCTTGCCCTTCCACCTTTCAGTTTCCTGGCCCTGAGGGCAGAGCAATTGGATGTAGGGAGAATCTGGCCTACGGTATGCACAGAATATGGTCGTGCTGAAGCTGACCGTGAGGGAAGAGGGATCACAGTAACGAGAGCAGCAGAGTGAGAGAGAGAGTGAAAAAGCCAAGGAGGTTCCAAAAAAGTGGATCCCAGCAACCAAATGGGTCCGATAAAGTGGTACATGACCCACTTAGCGGTGCATCCGTAGCCAATGGCAGGCTAGCCGCCTGCTCGGTCTCAATAGACCGGGCCGAATCGGGCATGCGGCTCCACCAGCGCCGGAGGTTCTGTCCCAGAAACAGAATTCCCACTGGCGACGCAAGCAGGTTTGTTTGCACCTGGGTGGCTTCCCACTCGAGTTGTCGCTGCTTGCTGCAGTCGTGAGCTGAAATTCGGAGGGAATTGCCTCGCCTCACCGACTTGTCTGATTGGGAACCTGCTGTTTTAGGCCAGCCCGACTCATCCCGTGGACGCCGGAACAAAAAGCTAAGCTGCATGAAGAGCTAGCTCGAAGCTGGGGGCACCACCCACCGTGATGAAATCGACGCCAACCTTTCAGCAGAACCAGAAGAGAGAAAAAAGGAATGTCACTGCATCCATTTCTCTCATTGTTTGTTGCCCCCAATGCTGGCTTGAGGGAGGTGATGTGGATTTATATAGCTTTTGGATAGATCAGAGAAACTGGCCACATTTGGTGTGGAAGAAGTCAGCTCGTCTGCACTCCCGCTTCCCACCATTGCTCCCCCCCCTAACCCTAGCCAAAGAAATTAAATCCTCGGGAAGAAAAACGTCACAATCCTCCCAGCTGTTTCTTCCCCTCCCGACCAAAGAAATAAAATACAAAACAATTGAGAGGTAAATCCCATGACGGTCAGCGCTAGTGCCAGCAGTAGCCACGCCCTGTTTTTTGTTTTTGTTTTTTTTGTTTTGCGTCTGGTCAATTTGACGCAGCAGCGACTTCAGTCGTGGATAGCGGGTTTCGCCCACCACCTCGGGGTAGTTAGCCCCCGTTCCCTCCCCCATCCTTCGGCACTCCATCTCCAGGAAAGAGAGATACGCTCTCATATTTATACCTCGCAGTCTTGTCTCGTAATGGGGAGAATAAGATGGAGTCTCTCTCCCAATTTTCTCACCATTGCTCCCTCCCTCCCCCTGTCTCTAACATTTTCACATTCTTACCCATGCTTACTGCACTTGCCTAAGTTAGCACTAGTGAAAAGCGGTTGGCGGTGATCGAGATATGATCTCAGCCGCCCTGCGTCCTTACGTAACCGAGCAGGGGGAGGGGAGCTTTTGCGTCTGTCTGCCCGGCTGGGATCTGAACTGCTGTCACCCAGTGAACAAACTGGCCCTTCAATTTAAGCATGCAGCCGCCGCAGACAGGGATTGAGGAAGCTCTTCCAGCCGGGTTCTTCCGTCTCGTATAGCTGGGCAGGAGTTTGATTATGTGAATGTGTAGCTACTGTACTTGTGATTGCCACCTGTTGAGGAAAGGATGGGTAAAGAGGAGAGAGAGAGAGGACGCGGCGATGGTTATGAAACATGCGCATGACGATCCATTATGGGTCCAGAGGATGGATGATACCTGTGTTGATTTCGTCGCATCATGGAGGAGGCAGCGGATGGAGGGTCGGAAGTTCAGGTTGCTGGGGAGAAGTGCGTGTTCCGTGTATTTCGTGCGTAAGGGGGAATGGAAGTCTGGTATTGATACTGTCTCGGAGTTACATTGATATCCTCAGGCACCGATTTGGCCGGCCCAGCGGGTGATTGTTGGACCTCGGGTCACGTCCATGTAGAGAAGGTATGGCGGCGGCTACGAATCGGAAAGATAACGAACGCTTCAGATCCCAGTCGGAGAATGTCCACAGACTCATACACTTTGCACCTTCTACAGTCCTTCAATCGTATGTCAACAGATCGCATCTTGCTACTCAGATCCTCAGCAAATAATTCGAACTTCTATCGTATGCATCGTCATTTGACTCCTCATGAACTACAATCCCAAGTACAAGACCTTCACCCGGCAAACCCACCCCGTTCCCACCCGACCGGGCCTTCCGACTATTCCCTACGTAGTCCCTCCAGATCGGTAAAATTCCTATCCAACAATGTACACGGACATATATCTGTACCAATCTAGAAAATCTACTGAACTGAGTCCCAAACACCTGTAACTCTCCCTCTCGACTTTCTATCTGGGACAGAGGAAGCCACAAGAATGTCCCCTCAAGCCGCCTACACACCCGAGCAAACACCGACGGTCGTCCGCGCCCGCAAACATCTCTCGGGAACGCGCGCCAAGCAGCTCCTCCGCGCGGCGGAGCGCGAATACAACGACCCCCCGCCGCCGCCGGGGCTGGGCGAGTGCTGTGGCAGCTCGTGTGACCCCTGCGTGAGGGATCTCTGGCGGGAGGAGCTGGCCGTTTGGCGCGAGAGATGGGGGGAGGCTGCTGAGGAGGGGTCTTCGAAGAAGAAAGACCAAGACGGGAAGGAGGAGGAGGAGGAGGGGAAGAGGAAGATGCCGGGGAGTTGGGAGTGGTGATTTGATTTACTTTTGTGGGTGTGGATTGGAATATCAACTGGTTTAGAGGGGCTGGCGTGGTTTAGGAGACCCTGGTTTTGGGCTGTCACTTGGTTTGTGATTCTTTGTTCTGGTTGATGCTATGTGACAGGTGATAACTAACTATAAAACAGACTGAGCATGAACCGAGCCGATGAAGCAATTCGCGGCAGACTATCTCCACTCACAGTGAGATGAAAACTCATTTACACTTCACTAACCTCACTCCCTGCCGGCACCCTGGCCTCATACTCTAACACCAACTTCACCTCCTTCCCAGGCGCCAACTTGACCACCCACTTGACCTCCCCGGCCTTTCCCAAATGCGCGGTCCCCTCCTTCATTGGCACATCGTCTCCTTCCCGAACCAGCCCCTTGGGCTCCAGGATCTGCACCTTCAACCGCTCATCGTCGCTGACGGGCACCTGATCGATAACCGCCACCTCGACGGCGTTGCTCCGCGTGTTCCTAACCCGACACGTCCGGCGGAACACCGCCGCCTCTTCCTTCTGGGAGAACAGACCCCCACTGCCTGTCGCGCGCCGCACCGTCGGCCGCCCGTACGTGACCTGGATCAGGGGGTCCACGCCCAGCGGCAAGGTGAACGATTTCTTCGGCCCGCAGCTCGGCAGGTCCGCGGTGCCCAGGAAGGTCCCGTCAATGGTGATGCCGACTTTCCCGCGAAGAAGACTCACGGATGAGGACGAGTTCTGGATTTTGGCCTGTAGGAAGGCGGCGGCGCGTTGCTTGGGGACGATGGTGTAAGATAGGGTGACGGAGTCGAGGTGGAGGTCGGCGAGGAGGTGGCGTCGAGCCACGAGGGATGGGATCACGGTGCGATGACCGGGCAGGTCGTATGTGGTTGTGAGGCCGTAATCTTGCTGGAAGGATTCTTGATGCTCCAGGTCTGGGATGGTTTTTGGTGGGGATGAAAAGGAGGGCTTGGGTTCTTCAGTGAGATTATTAACCTCGTCTGGAGCCCCGGATTGAGCGAATGGTTGCATGGATGTTGTCGCTGTACCCATCAGCGCCGTGGGCTGAGCTTGCGAAGGCCTGGAAACATTTCCAAACAGCCCTCCAGTCATGGTAGATCGTCCAAATCCGCCAGGTTGAGGACCACTGGTGCCGGTTGGCGGTGGGTTGGCTGGTGCGCCAAATGCAGGACCGCTTGTGGTGGTTGGTGGTAGGCCACCAAATAGAGCCCCCCCAGACTGCGGGGGCGGGGGTGGTGGTGGAGGGGCCGCTGCTTGTCCGAACAACCCGTCCTGAATTGGTTGCGGAGGAGCAGCTGGTGCAGCATACATACCAGAGGGTCTGGACGCAGCCGCTGCAACAACATTATTGGGCCCAAACACCGCTGGGTTCCGCGTCTGCTGCTGGCAAAGCGTCTTCTGGAGGGTCTGTACTGGCATAAGATGGCGTTGCTCAGGCTTGCTACGCAGAATATCCTCCCACGAGGTCTGCTCCTGGTTCTTATTGTTGTTGGCCGCTTGGACTATCAGCTGCCACACCTGGAGCGAGGGAATGCGCTCTCCCAGCCCGGAAAACGAGGCCTGCGAGGTGGACAGGGTTACGCGGGCATCGCGCCAGGTCTCCGAGCACGCATTACGAAACTCGGCGCGATAGACCATCTTGGCCGAGGAGGCAGGCGTGTTGATACTCAGATCATACCGTGGGACCCAGCTGGGTCCCGCGACGACATAACTCAACCGGAGCATGACGCTGTTGTCGCCTTGTTTCTTGCCCTCACCCTCATCACCTTCACCGTCAGCGAATGAGGCCTCGCCATCCAAATGAACCACCACCTCTCCCACCCTATTCTTCCGAAACGACTTCTGCTCCTTCTCGAGCCTATCCCTCCGCTCCTTTCTCTGCATCTTCTCTTTCTTGCGGGCCTGCCTCTCCTTCTCCCTGGCTGCCTCCTGCTTCCTCTTCTCCTTGAAAACCCTCTTCTCCACCTTCTGCACCTTGCCCTTCAACCTCGCCACTTCTTCCTCTGCCTCCTCCACCTCCACAACGGCACGATAATGCCTCTCCCCTTCCTCCTTGCCCCGCGCATTAAACAGATCCATAAACTCTCCGACCTTCCACACTTCAACCGGTTGCTGCGGCTGCGGCTGCGGTCTCCCAAACCCGGCTCCACCCGTCGGAAAAACCGACCCCCTCTTCTGCTCCTGCAAGAAATCTATCAAACTGCCCGCGACATCCCGCCGGATCCCCGCCAATGCCGCCTTCTCCTTCGCCGTGCGCAGCTCCGCCCTCACGAGTCGAAGCTCCTCGGGTTCGTCGCCTGCCTCGTCATCCTCGGATGACGACGAATCACTACTACTTTCATCTTGTTCTGCTTCGTTCGCCTCCAGAGCATAAAGCCGCGACTTGACAATCTCTGTCTGGAAATCCGTTACGCAGGCGGGACCCGAGCCCTCGATGCGGATCGAATCGAAATCCGTGAGGGGGTCGAGGCCGTGGATCGTTAGGGTGTTGGGGCCGGGCTTTTTTCCCCCGCCTCCCCGTTAGTTTATATGAATCATAGTTGGACACAAGGGATGAGACGAGACTTACGTGGATCGTAACGGGGATTTCGCGGACGATGGTGGCGCGGGTTGGCTGGAAAGTGACGGTTTTGGTGGGGAGGGAGGTGAGGAGGATCTCGGTTGTGTTGTCCGTGGTGGTGGTATGGTCGGGCATCTTGCTCGGCTTCTTTTTATTGTTCAAGTAAAAAAAAAAGAAAAAAGAGGATTTCCGCTTAGTCGATCTAAACGATGGAGCGGAGAGAGAGAGGATATATGAATGGATAGGAAAGAGATGATGGTGACCAGGACGTAGGTTGAATACTCTGTACCGTACTTATACTCCGCACCGCAGCCCCTAACAGGTAACACATCAGGCAGCATGGAGTCGCTCTAAGCTGCGCCTTGTATCGTGACAAACATGATTGGTGCAACGGCTCCTCGCTTATAAATCCAATGACTAGCGCGGCTCTGATTTTATTCTCATTGGCTGTGTGAGTCATTTGTTAGCCTCAAATCGAACTATTGGGGCTTAGCATCGCGACTAGAGCCGCTAACTTAACTACTACTAAAAGGCTACAGGATTGCCCGTTCCGGACGATATGACTACTACTCTCCCTTACAAACTTCATTCTATTGTTACGGACAGGTCATATCTCACAGGTCCCTTGATGGATTTGGATCAGTGAAAGCCATTTCTGTATCATCCATTCGACAATACTCTTACGGACTTGAATGATGACTCTGGTCATGATCGCAGTGAGGGGGATATATTCCGTCCCGAAACACGTGTTGTCATCGTCTTGTCTTAGTAAAGAACCCTAAGACGAGAAGGTACGATACCTTGTGTAGGGCTTGGGCCCTTAAGGACTAAAGAAAACAGAATACTCGGCTCCCTTCGTGCGATCTAGTTTCCAGGCTGTCGTCGCTTCAGCCGAATTCTGCATTCGGTATTCTTGACAAAGAATCTTTCGCGGCAAGCTGTCGGGTCGGTCTGGGTCCTCGTCATATTGTATTAGTTTGTAGAGCGTAGCGAAGCATCCCCATCCACACAAAGCTCTTGTGTAAAATGTCAGAAATGTCGGGGGAGAAAAACGAGCGACAAACGCCACAGAGCAGGGAGGGGAGAAGACAGCGGTGACGTGCTTCCGGCCGATGCAGACACGCGATCCGATCGAGAAAGGGATGAAGGTGAAGTTCTCCATCATGGTCGAAGGTGTCGTCTTGCAACCACCATTTGTAAGGAAGCCTCAATGGGCTCTAGGAAGGTAAGGCGGCGGTCACTTCAACAGCATAGTCGGGCGGATGTTCGCACCTTAAACACTGGTGATGGACGTTGAGCGCATTAACACTAATCAAGAGCTGCTGTTCACCAGCAGATCCTCTCGGAAAGGCTTAATCAGAATAGAATTGAAGGCTAAGCATACCTCCGGAGACGGACTAGGCGCTTCAAAGTCAATCACGGATAACTCAGCCTCGTTGGTTTGATATCCCACCACAGTCTCATAGCACCTGGGTACTGAGCCTAAATAGCAAGATCCTCCTCGCATCGACGGATCTGTCACCTTCGTCGAAATGTCAAACCAATCACGATAATCCACCTTTAAGGCTGGACGTGTTACTCGGTACGTGTTGACAGGGGTTCACCTGAAGCCACCCAATCAGACCCTCTCGTCAGTCGAGATGTCAAAAATATCACGAAAATCCACTTTCAGGGCTGCAGGACTCCAGATGTGTTGTATGGTACGCGTCGAAGAGGATGCACGTGGGCTTGATTATCTCTGGGTCTCTATCTGTGAGGAGTTGTGGATTTATGAAAGCTTGCCTTTCTTTCAACCGAGATGTTCTTGTCATCCTTCCGCACTACCTAGACTACAATGAGTCGATTTCTAATATCAATGGAGGAATTCCTGTCCTGCAGTTAATGATGACCTTGAACCACGGAGACTACCAAGATGACTGACCTTGCTGGCGTGCATTCCAAAAATCCCAGTCGAGGCGAATGAAGCGCCAGAATATTGTGATATCGAGCAAGGACGCCTTGGGATGGGTTTCCCTGGATACGCGGCTAAGGCTCAGGAACCGGGGGCGGGGCGGATCTTATTCCCCGCTATTCGTCGCCGCGGCACCCCACCCGTTACCGTGGAGGGGCGGCCACAGCGACGAGTAGTGCGTTCACCATGCAAAGTGATCTTGGATGCTTGAAAGTATGTACTTCATAAACTTTCCGCTCTCTCCCCGGTCTCGGTTTCCGCTAACCAACGCACTGACAACCTCGGGACAGTGGTTCAACGGCGATGGCAATGTGTCCGCCTTTCGCGTCAAGGACGGCAAGATCTATGTTGTACGGTACTATGACTATATCACACTAGAACTTTTGTAATAAGGGTACTAGTATTGCTTAGGGGGTTGTGTCAACCCGGTCAAGTCTTTTATCCTTGATTTACTGGTTTCTGAGTAGCTTGCAGCTTGCAGCGGACTGGTCCTATCCATTCCTTCTAGGATCAATAGCTGGTTGAGTCAATTGACCGGTCAGAGTTGTCAAGGTAGTATAGAGAGGAGGTGTTGTCGATGGCTCCGACATATTTTATCGAAAGAGTGTTGTCTATCCATCTATCGGTGCCGTCGCGCTTGTTGATGATCCCGTCATCCCCGAAGCCGTATTAATCGCCACTACTGCCTGACAATCCTGAACACGGTTGAATGTCTTGACGGCTAGCGTGGTGTGAGTATCAGTGAGTCAGGAGACTTGACCAATGATCAAATTATCCAACTCGAAAGAGATCGACTGTGACGGTCAGAGCGTGGCTCTCAGCCACGCGGAGAAGGTTCAGTTGCACCGTGGGATTGGTTTGCGATGCTTTCGAATGTCGAATCGGCATCTCTGCTGGATACGGTGGCGCAATCGCCGGATTATCCAGTTAGTATGGCACCATGTAGTTCGGCACTCCCGTCTCATTGAAACTCAGGAAGGCGAGATACTCCCCATCGGGAGAGAAAAACAATGCGAACCGATCCCCCAGGATTTCCTCCTCGTAAGCCCAGTCTGGCACACCATGGAAGTTATCAGGCCCACCATCCGAGATGATCACTGTGATGACCCCGTCAATCCAGGTGAACAGATTGTTTTCACGGACGAATGCAATCGTGTTGCCCACCGGGCTCCATTGAGCATTGAATATCAACGTCCTGGTCTGGAAAGAGAGGGCTAAGCTGCAATGACCGGATATCTTGGATGTAATAATCTGCTAAAGAAGAACGTCGGTATCTCTTCGTATGGTTGGTCTCCCAGAGGACTGCCGAGAGGTCGGGCTTGACTTGGTAGCTATATACCCCCGCAGGGACGTGGTCGGCTGCAACGAGGGTCTGTGTTTGCCTGGTAACAATGTTGGTGATCTTAAGACTGCCATCTTTCACCGATATCTGCGATGGCGAACTCGCCTTTCGCACGACGGTCTCGTTGAAAGTCAGACGCTTTGTGCCACCCCCGGTCGGAGGATAGGGATTGCGAGCAATGCCAAAGGCATGAACGAGGCCTACGATAAAGGAAAGAAGCCAGAGATGTTAGCAAAGTTGAGACTTGTCACAGCTTACTTTTACTCACCTTCATGACTGTGACCAAAGTTGGAAGAAGCAATTGATACGAAACGAAGGCACGTTCACGATGACCTTATTTAACAATCCAAGGGAGACCCCCGCGTACCTGCCGGGAAGGTGGCTGGAATTGCGGTCTTGCCTGACGTGATGAGATTTCACTCCGCTGCAGTCAAGTGCCTGTACGCCTTTTGCCATGGCTAGGTTGCTAGTAACGTTACAGTGCATTCGGCCCTTTTCTTCTTATTTTTCCTTCATAGCATCCAGTGTCGTTGCGGCTTATGCAAGTCGTATTCATAATAATCACTGTAACAGCGCGACCGGCTAGTCTGAAGGTGGGTAGTTGCTCAAATAGTGAAGTCGCGGACAAAAAATGTTTCTCATAACGGAACCAGTGAAGTATACTTGCCACCTGATGTGGATGATGGATGAGCGGCAGGTTTGACACTACAGAATTATCTTTCCTCTGTATTATATTATCTGTGTGATATTGACATCAAGAAGCATCATTGGTCTAGTGGTAGAATTCATCGTTGCCATCGATGAGGCCCGTGTTCGATTCACGGATGATGCACTCAGATTTCTCTTTTGCTTTTTGGTCTGGTCCGCGCCCGTCCGAAATACCTGTCCCCATTCAACATAATTGCCTCAACACACTCCAAATGAAAATAATAATTGCGATCCGACTCTTTCCTCTGCCGTTTGCAGTACGAGACATCCTTCTGCAGCGCTTTCCCCTACTTCCCCGGAAGCAATAATCTAGAACACCGAATGATAGGTGAAACAGTGAGCTGCCCTCCTGACTACCCAGACCCCAACCTTGATTCGTACCTCGTGCTTCATAGGATTGATACCGTCTGTTCCAGGTCCACGTACAGATCTACGCAGTCAAATCTTCCCGGCCTCTGCTCCTAAAGATATAAGGTTTACCACGTACCTTGTAGATATCATGTCAAAATATAGTAATGATAAAAACTGAAAGGTTAAACTAAAAAAGTATGACACTACCTAGCAAAACCAGATCTAATCTATCCATGATCTCGAGCTGAAAAGACTTATACGCATCAGACCTCCATAAAAACGATCCTGTCCTGAGGACCTCCCAATAAAACTACATAGCATGCTAACCAGGCACACTGAAAATAAACCCCTTCAACGAAAGAGAAGAGCATGATACCAAAGAACAAGAGGGGATGGAAATACATCATCATACTATGTATACATCTTTGACCGCCATGTTACATACCGCCTATTCATAGAGTCAAAAACAACACCAATCCAACACAAGCGATAGACTGAGGGAAGAGTCATACCTGTCGTCTCGAGGCAAAATCATCATAGATGCCGCGCCAGATATCTCGCGCGCGACAGTCGTCAAAGTAGCCCGTCTGAGGGCTCAGATCACACCTTGGCTGATTCGCCTCGATGATACTTGTATTGGCCCGGAACCAAGGCTATATGCAGGAAAACCTCCCGTGAGTTGCTTTCTATATACCCTGGTATTCAGCTTACTCACCTTTGGGAGCGGCCAGTCAGAGAAATGCAGGAACTTTGTCTGATTGAAGACCTCGACCGGGTCCCAGGATTCCTGCGGATCGCCGAGATAGGCGATATGGTCTGTGGCGCGAAATTCGCCGGTCAGGAGGTAGTAAGGCCGGTGGGGGATGTTTCCCGCGCGGCCCTGGTACAGCTGGTTGACGATCTCCATGTCGAATTCGGTCGGCCCGGCGTTGGCGATCGCTTGTTGGATGCGGTGGAACTCGGACGCAGAGGGCTCGATCAATGCGATTAGGGTGCTCATCGTCCGGCTCGCGGGGCTGAGCCAGTATGCTCGGGGGAGGACTACGGGTGATGGTGGGAGCAGGAAGAGTTCGTCCAGGGACTGTGGGGCTATTGTGAGCGCTCCCTCCCCAGCCATAATCTGGGGGTTCCGGTATAAATAGATCACCCAAGCTTACCTGGAGAAGAGTCGAGTCGGAGTCCAGGCTCAGTACGCGATCGTACTGGGTTTGATTAAAAGCGAGAAGCTTGGTGTAGCTGTCTGCCCATGTCTCTGGGGCGCGCTTTCTGTCAGCTGTTGGAAAGGTCATAAGTGGGCTCGTTGGCTTACTGTCGGAAACGCCCTTTCGGTGCTGTAGCTCAACTGGGACCAGCTTGACCCCATACTCATCGCGGGCTTTGCGGAGCAACTTCGCAACCCTGGAGTTGTCATCGGTGGAGAAGTCCGATGGATACATTAACAGGCGATCCGCTCGACTGCCTAGGCGATGCAGGGTCTCAAACAACATCACTGAGTTGCAGAGATAGGCTCGGCTGGTGGCATACTGGGTATAAGCAAATCGGGACCAGTCGACCTCAAGAGTTGAGGTATAGGCACCAAGGGGAGTCAACTGGAACGAGGGGTGGATATCACTCAGGCAGAGCTGCCACAGAATTACGAAGATGAAGCAGCACACAAAGGCGGTCCGGACCGCTTTGAATGTTTTGACTTGCATTTCGGAGCTGCTTCCATCAGCGTTGTGGTTCGGAACTCAGGATGAACGCCTTGCCTTATACGAAGTCAAAGCCTTGGTGCAAAGGGAACAACAACTTGAAATTGGAAGGTTTCAGGGCTCACCAGCGCTGGGCGGCAACTCGACCTATTGGAGGGTCTCGAGTTCCAGGGTCTCTTTGATCCATCCCCGGTTCGGAAAAGCTGCGGCGTTCTAGCGTCATGTTAGATTTATTAGGGTTTCATCTATAGTACTATTTTGTCCATCGCAAGATTTTACGATTATAGATCTTCCTGCGAGGCGCGTAAATGCAGTTGATGAATGGCTACAAACTCACGGCATTTTAGAGCCTTGTCAACACAGTGCGGCTTTTGTGGCGTGGAAGCGCTTATCTTCACCATTCACACATGACAAGGACGGGGGCCGCAGGTTCGACTTCGCTCTTTACTCCCCTTACCCTAACTCCCCTCACTCTTTCCCCATAAGCAAAATGCTCAGTCGCCCACTTTTCTGTGAGATCGTACAGGCTCTTCTTGCGAGTCACTCCTTTCTATCCGTTCTTTCTGAACAAACGATCTTGCTCTAATGGTTCTCTCTGTCGTTCTTCTGGTAAGCATCTGGAGTTCTTCGATCTTTGTCCATGCTACGACCCCTTTCACCGTGCCATGGACGGGCAAGACGTACGGTCCAGATGGTCCCTGGCAAGCTGTCCAGGTCAAAGTTGGCAGCGACCGGCAGGAAATTGCTCTCTACCCTGGAGGAGCCTGGCAGAGCTACATCCTCCTCTCCTCGATCTGCTCCAATACTTCATTATCATCCTACTGCTATGCTAACCGGGCGGGTGTTTTCAACAAACTGACCTCCACCACATATGACGACACGGCTATCCGGCTGACCATCAATGATGGAACATGGGGACCGCTGCACTTTGGCGCTGCCACCGATAACCCCATCTACGGCACCGCCAAGTGGGCGCTCGATTCAATTGATAGCTCGGGCGTCGTGGCCCCAAACGTCAGTCTGAATGTGGTGGACCAGGGATACCAGATATACCCGGATGGGACTAACTACCCTCTGGAGCTGGGAGTCCTGTCTCTGGGGGCTCCCAGCCTACAACAGCAGTTCGCAAACCGGGGACAGCCTACCATAAATGGTACCTTCTTCGACAGCTACCTTTATACCTCTGGGACCGGCCAGGCCATCCCCTCCTACTCGTACGGGATGCATATCGGCACGCCCACATACAATCTCGCGGGATCCCTGCTGCTCGGCGGATACGATCAATCTCGTGTGCTGGGGGAAGTCTCGTCGCAGCCATATTCCGATGATGGAGGGTTCCCAATCAAGCTTCGCGACATCAGTCTCGGGGTGATCCGCGGGGGTTCACCATGGTTGTCCTCCTCGTCCTCAACGCGCAGCAGCAGCAGCAGCAGCAGCAGCAGCAGCAGCAGCAGCAGCAACAACAACAACAACAACCCAACAGGGCTTCTCGCCGCCGGCAACTCCTCTATCACCGCCAACGGAATAACCGTATACTCCAGCCCCGGGGACCCCTACATCTACCTCCCTCAAAGCACCTGCGACGCCATCGCCGCCCACCTCCCCGTCACCTATCAGAGCACCCACGGCCTCTACATCTGGAACACCTCCAGCCCCGCCTACTCCCAAATCACCACTTCCCCTAGCTACCTAGCCTTCACCTTCGCTAAGGATAACTCTAACCGCGCCAACATCACCATCAAGATCCCCTTCGCCGTGCTTAACCTCACCCTGACCCCACCCTTGGTCACCCAGCCAACCCCCTACTTCCCCTGCCGGGGCACTACCGCCGCCGGGGCCGTCTACGCCCTCGGCCGCGCCTTTCTGCAGGCTGCCTTCGTCGGCGTCAACTGGGGCGATAGTGGCAGTGGCACGGGCAACTGGTTCCTGGCGCAGGCGCCCGGTCCAAATCTGCAGACTCCGTCGACTACTGTCATCCAGCCCGAGGATACTACTGTCGTTGGGTCGGACAACAGTTGGGAGGATAGTTGGTCGGGGGTTTGGACGGCGCTCCCGGTTGCTTCTGCTGCCGCTTCCACGCTGACGACAAATACCACTACTACTGGAACTTCATCCTGTGAGAACTGTACTCCTGCGGCACTGTCCACCGGGGCCAGAGTCGGGATTGGCGTCGCCTGCGGCGTGGTTAGTGTGGGCGCGACCGCCCTGATTACGTTGTGGTGCTCCACTCGTCGTCATCGTCGTCAGGCTTCTTTTCCTGACGTGGGTAGTGCTGTTGGCGGCAAGGATTGGCCTGATTCGATGCAGGGTCAGAGCAGGGCGGGTTATGAGGCTACTTGTACTACTACTAGTGGTGGTGGAAGGCCAGCCGGTCGGTCGCTGGCTTACCCCCCTGTCGAGCTTGGTGCATATCGCAACGAGGGTCCGCATGAGATGGGATAGAGGTTGGAGTCCTGTTTAGATTAAGAGTCTCTAGGCAACTTTTCATGTAGATATGAATCTTATCTGCAACTATTCTTCATTTCTGAGGAGTCTACCCATGAAAGGGTGGGTGGGTGGCGCTAGGCACGGTCTGCAGGTGCCATTGTGACTCTCCTACGCCAGCGCCGAATCAAATCGTGGAGTCAGACTTGGTCATTGTTCAAGACCTTTGTTTGGTCTTCCGAATGGCAGTAGTGGATCACTGGGTTGGTTTCCTGCTTACACCCCTGTCCAGATCTTATCTTTTACAGGGAAAGAGGTCCGAGCACAGAAGCTTGTCAGGGACTCGGCTGATTGCCGAGCCATGGATCAGGGAGGGAAACAACCGCCCCCTCGGTTTGATGAATTACCGTACCACTGGGTTGCCACTGGGCAGGCGACTGCAGCATTTTGAATGGCTGCACCTTTTATTCCTCTGGACGGCAAATGCTCAGTCGAGTTATATTTGATAAACTTATGCATGATTTAAGTAGATGCTCGGACCAGGGGTTGGTCGTCATGCATATTTCAAAACCAGTTCCTCTGCGGGTGCTCGCATGTATACGATCTCGCGTCCATAACATCCCCACCCTGGTACATCGAAACAAGCGGCCAAGGACACAGCGATCTTGTCCGCCCATCCGCTGCCTGCGCAGATAGGGTCTCCGGAGCTACGCCACCTTCCACCCACTCGACAACCTGAGACAATGGGTCCACCGGCACGGGACCATCTCCCCCAGAGCAGTGATGCACGCCCGCGGCAGGGAAGAAGCGATAGAAGTCCCGCACCGCAGGGTCACGCTCCTGCACCTGACGGTAATAGTGCTCGGTTCCCTTGGGAAAGATCACCGGGTCGGCTAGACCATGCCACGTGATCATTTTCCCACCGGCTGACTTGAAGGCAGAGAGATCCGGGTCGTTGGTCCCGATGATCGGGTTGTATTCTGCAATGGAGCGGGAGAGGATGGCATCCAGATCCGCATGGTCGAGGGTGGAGAGGTCAAAGGCAGGATCCTGGAGGACATAGCGGCGGATCCAGTCGGAAGAGATGGCGAAGGGAGATCCCGTGCAGTTGGTTGGGGAGCTGCAGGTGGTGGCGGCGAGGCTGCCACCACCCACGGAGAGAGGAGCACCTCGCTCGAGACCATACCACTGGAAAGTGCCATTGGAAGAGCGCATTCCTGCCCAAATCAGCTTGACAGCTAGGGCCGCGGGCTTAGTAACTTTCACGCTGCCATGATTGCATGCGACGGTCTGGTTGACCAAGGTGAGAGGGTCAAAGTTGCAGAGGTTGGGAGCAGAGATCACACCGTCAGTGACACCGTCGAGGGAGTCGCAGGCGCTGACGGCGGCGGCAGTGATGGCGTCGGTCACGCACGTCGGCGGGTGTGTCTGAAGCTGGTTCATGACAAACTGCGGCCAGTACTCCGCTACAAGGAAAGTGGGCCAATTAATGGCAGGGGCGGCAGCCATAATTCCATTGTATGCCGTGGGATACCGCTGCGCAAGCATGAGTCCTTGTCGTCCGCCGGTAGAGCAACCGTTCCAATACGAGCGGTTTGGCCCATAGCCATAGAAGCTGTGGCTGATTTGTTTGCCTATGACGGCTGCGTCATTTAATGCAACGTAAGCGAAGTCGTCGAGAAGAGCCATATTAACATGGCCAGATGTATCAAGTGACCAGGCGGCTGAGTTCTGTGATACGAGGTCGTGGCCACCATCCGTGGCTACAACTGCATAGTTGAGGCCAACCGCTTCTGCTAGCACCGAGTCGTCTTGACGCATTGCATAGCCGCCACCCCCAGAGCCCTGAAGCCGACCGTTCCAGCTTGAGAGGGGAAGCCAGATAGTAGTGTGGATAGCGTCATTCTTTCCGGGATGGGTGTATGTGACAGTCACATTGCAGAAGCTCAATGTCGTTTTGCCATCATGGTAGCCGGTGACTGGAATAGCAGTCAAATGTAACAGCTGCCCACCAGGAATCGAGGGTTGGGCGATGCCGGCTACCGAGCAGTTCCCCGCATTTACTTCCGAAGCACCCAAAAGAGTAGCTGCAACGGCAGCCGAGGTTAAAGACCGGCAGGTGAGCAGAACCATGGTGAGGGCGAGGCACAGGACTGCGATAAGCGTCTGTTTCATTCCAGAAGCCGGGACAGACATCAGCGGTGCTTTATACCAGCCCCGGATTTGCAGGTTTCTCTTCGTTGGAGCCCCGTGTGGAAATTCAGGGAAGCATCTTGGTGGATCAGCGGCATCACACGCGGTCCATTCGAGCAACGACTGGATCGCTTGGATAAATATCCGCAGATACCAGTGTCCGTGCCATGGCGCGGGTAGCGGAGTGCTATCTGATACGTTCCCTGATTTGGCAAATTCCCTTGTTGTGGAGGGACTCAGAGTACAGATCGACATGTACGGCAGCTCGTTCGGGAGTTCGTAAGTGGAGCCGATCGGGACCCACTGCTGCTGAGCATATGGCACTGGAGCCCGCTAGGGGCTGCCCGGAGATCGTAATTCAAAACAGGGAACAGGAGGCTCTGATGACCTTGGATATTATGAGAGCCAGCAAGAGGATACCTGCGGAATTGATCTTATAGTGCTTGTGAGCAGCCGTCGTTCGTGTTGGAGGGATACATAAGCCCGGACGGGCTCTATGAGAGCAGGATACGCTTATCAGGAGCACATTTCATGTTCGCATTGCCGATCTATCATGAAGTAGACTCGAAAAGCAAATAGCGTGCCTCGGTTTGAGGTAAGTAACCGAGAAAGCTCTTGTTGTTTGCTAGGTATTCTCAGGTCATGGTATCGATCGCTGGATCGCTGATGATAGGCCAGCAGGATGAAGTCCGTTTGGTCAGAGCGATGATCTCGATTCTAGTCTCAGGGGCAGCTAGACTAAAATTCCAGAAGGACTGTCATGCAATGTCAAAATTCCATCTGGAAACGAACTCGTAAGGTGTCTGGGACGATCACGATGACTAGAAGTCATATTTATCAATTACATCGATCCTTGCTTCGTGTTGCGGTTAAGCTTCCGTCGATATAAGCGAAACAGGATTTCAGAATCAAGTCTCCGGAGAGACAGTGCTATAATGGCACAGTTGCTTCTTGTTCAACAAGCTTGGGGCCTGCTTGACGGTGGAAATGATCTGCATTTGCTTGGAATGGGTGCTTGCGCCGAACGGTGGGGAGGTGGATTGATGTAGCATTTGCATTTTAACCCCTCGGCCATCCAGCTGGTGAGGTCACGTGCACCAACGGACCTCACGCAGCGTAATGAATTCTAGAAGAAAAAAGGTTATTTGCGAGTACACTTCAATGCTTTCGCAAAGCATGAGGATACTAGCTAAGCTAGTTTGGTGGTGAGAAAAGAAACACCAGGGGCGTTGTATACTATGTAAGAGACAGTAAACTCTCAGACGGAAACCTAAGCTTCGGCGCGGAAGAATCCCGAGAGTCTCTAGTCCAGTGCTAGATCACATGACAGGAAGTCATGTACTCTGCGGTTCGAATCCGCGCGGGAGACTTTTCCAATTTAAAATGATGAGTTATTGTTTTGTTTCTCTGTCCGGAACCTTTCGCTTCCCCCCACTAATCAACTACGCTCATTTACGAAGTGGATAAATTTTCTTACTGCAAACGAGGCGACACGACCTATCTTGACTGCTGATTCCGCAGTGTTTAGTGCGAATCTCAAGCAATTGGCTCCTATCGGGGGGTCGAGCATGATCGAGATTCATGCCCCGCTCAGCGGCCTTGACCGCAATCAATTTACCTTGTGTTTAATCCGGTGTGATCGCCGAAATAAGTCCCCTCCCACTATCTGCACCTGGATTCGATGGTTCAAAAATTGGCTGTCACCAGTCTCTCAGGTGACAATGACAACAAGAGCATTGTTCCCCATGTCGATGATCGGCAAGCAGGTGGACCCGTGGGGTGTCTCTCCGCCCTCTGAACCTCTAATAAGACGAACCAAAGTGCAGCTTGGTGGGACAAAAGGTCAGCAACTGATACGTGGCTTGCAGTACTAAGTCTTTCAGCTCCGCAGAGCTAGACTAGGTGCTCGGCGAAGTCTGGAGCGGGGTTCATCGATGACTTAAAATGGCATTTCTGCCCCCTCATTTCTCCCCAACACCGGAAAAGCTCCTCCGTGACTCCCCCGCTTTTTCTTCACCCAGCTACACCACCACCAATTCTTCCCTCCCAGAGCATAACGGGGACACACCAACTTACCATGACCGCCGCTTCAGCCCAGTATCTGCCTGGCTCGGTTGACATCCCCGTCGGGAAGTTCCCTCCGACCCTCACATCTACCGATGTCGACCCCGAAGCTATCGCCTCCCAGCTGGTGGACACGATCAACACAGCGCTCAGCAAAGGCGACATCGAGGCCATCAGCAGTCTGTTCTTGGAAGACGGCTACTGGCGGGACCATCTCTGTTTGACGTGGGACTATCGCACCGCCAAAGGCCAGGAACGAATCCAGGCGCTCCTCAAATCCGCACAGCTGCCGACCAAGATCGAGGTCGATCGATCGACCGCTCTGCGCACACCCCACGTGGGCCCGATCGACGCGTTCGGCGATGTGAAAGGTGTTGAGTTCTTCATCAGGGTCTCTAGTCCCGTCATCAGCGGGACAGGTGTCGTACGTGTTGCCGAAGTCAATGGCGAATGGAAGATCTTTACCTTTTTCACATCGCTCCAAAACTTGGTGGGCCATGAGGAGAGAGTCGGTCATCGCCGGCCCTTGGGAGCACAGCATGGCGCGACCAAAGATCGAAGGAATTGGCAGGACAGGCGGAACGCAGAGCGCAACCTGGAAGGCGAGCCTCCGGCGGTCTTGATCATTGGTAAGCATCATTCTACTAACTTTGAAATCGTGAATATACCAATTAATGAGCATCATCATCATTAGGTGCCGGACAAGCAGGCCTCACCGTGGCCGCCCGTCTGAAAATGCTTGGTGTTGACAGTCTGATAGTCGACGAGGCGGAGCGCGTGGGCGATAACTGGCGCAAGCGATACCACCAGCTAGTGCTCCATGACCCCGTGTGGATGGACCATCTCCCTTATGTGCCTTTCCCGTCCAGTTGGCCGGTCTTTACGCCTAAAGATAAATTCGCGGAGTTTCTAGAGTGTTACGTCAAGCTTCTGGAGCTCAACGTCTGGACGCGGACCAGCGTCCAATCCACTTCATGGAGTGAGGCCGACGGCCGCTGGACAATCGAGCTGAAGCGCCGCAAAGAGGACGGAAGCACCGAAACCTGTACTCTGCAGCCCCGCCACGTCGTCCAGGCGACCGGCCACTCAGGCAAGAAAGAGATGCCCACCTTCAAGGGCATGGAGACATTCCAGGGCGACCGTCTCTGCCACAGCAGCGAATTCCCCGGCGCCAGCGACCTCACCACCACCACCCAAAAGAAGAAAGCCGTTGTCGTGGGAGCCTGCAACTCGGGCCACGACATCGCGCAGGACTACTACGAGAAGGGATACGACGTGACCATCGTCCAACGCAGCTCGACCTGCGTGATTTCCTCCGCCTCCATCACGGATATTGGCCTGAAGGGTCTCTTCGACGAGGACGGACCCCCGACCGAGGACGCTGAGATCTACCTCTGGAGTCTGCCGTGGGAGGTCTTCAAGGCTCAGCAGATCAAGATCACGCGCGTGCAGACCGAGCACGACCGCGCCGTGCTCGACGGCCTCGAGCGCGCGGGCTTCCAGGTCGACGACGGCCCGGCGGGCGCCGGCCTGATTATAAAGTACTTCCAGCGCGGCGGCGGCTACTACATCGACGTCGGCGCGAGCCAGCTCATCGCCGACGGCAAGATCAAAGTCAAGCACGGCCAGGAGATCACGGAGATCCTGCCGCACGGCCTGCGCTTCGCGGACGGGTCGGAGCTCGCGGCTGACGAGATCGTCCTCGCCACGGGCTACCAGAACATGCGCACGCAGGCGCGGCAGATCTTTGGGGACGCGGTCGCCGACCGCGTCGGCGACATCTGGGGCATGGACGCCGAGGGCGAGATGCGCACTATCTGGCGGCGCAGCGGCCACCCGGGTCTGTGGTTCATGGGCGGCAATCTGGCCCTCTGTCGGTATTTCTCAAGGACGCTGGCGTTGCAGATTAAGGCTCTGGAAGAGGGGATTGCGCAGTAGATGTGATGTGATGTGGGGAGGGAGAGATACCGCGGGGAGTAAGTACAGTACAGTACTACCTCGGAAGAAGCTGGGCAGCAAATGAAAGGGCAAAGAAAAAAAAGAAAGCGTTAAGTTACAGGTTCTGTCGGAGGAGCACAATTGGATCATGCAAGACATATCCCAAAAGAGATTTTGTGTGCTGTGCTACCCAATGCATACCAATGCATAAAGAATGAGTACAGTATAATGGTGCACTGTGACTAAAATCCCTCAACCCCCTTTGATTAAGCCCCGCAAGGCGGACGGACCCTTGTGCATAACTTGCACACTACGTAGCAGACTAAGCGGGAAGCAAACGGGCCTCGGGACCGGCGGCGGCGGCGGAGGAGAAGACGGGCGGGCCAGATCTTCTATTTCTCCGGTTGTCTACTTCGTCCTCATTCCCTTTCGGAGAGAAAGACAAAGAAAGTTTCTATGACACTAGTCTCTCCAAACATTGACTCAAATTGGATATCATCGACATAGATAGATAGCAAGAGTCCCTGACCCTGAACCCTTTGACTCCCAAAAATACAAACAACGAAACGAAGATCAACACCAACACTAACACCAAGCTAAAGTTTAATAAACCCCGGACATAGACTATCAAATGATTTATGGATCTAAAAAAGGTAAACTCCCCCGGCCCAAAAAAGGGACAACAAATTAAACCCACCCCTCCATCCTCGCCGCATAGATCCCTACCATCAAGGTAACCGTGTAGAGCACATCCATGCGGTCCGCGGTCACCCCGACGGCGGCCAGCACCCGCCGCCGCAGCTGGTCCTGCGGCTCCCCGCGCAGGACCTTGATCCCCTTGGGCGAGAGGCCGGCTAGCCAGGGCCGGGGGCTGCTGCGCCGGGCAGAATCGCCGGAGTTTGGATCGCCGGGGCTTGTCGACGTGCTCCGAATGCCAAGGAGGAAACTGGCGGGTTCGTTGTTTTCGTGGTTTTCGTGGATTTCGTCGTCGTCGGGGGTCGTAGACGCCGAAGACCGACGGGTTGTGGTTGTTGCCGATGATCTTGGCGGGGATTTGTGTTTGGGTTTTTTCTTGGCGAGTTCGAGGGTGAGTTTTTGGGTGCTGGAGGAAGAGGAAGAGGATGTGGGGAGGAGTTGGAAGGTGTAGCCTCCGCGCGAGGTGCGGGAGGCGAGGAGGGTGATTTGGAGTTGGGGGAGATAGATTGCGTTTTTGTTGTTGGTGGGTGGTGATTTGGTTGTTGGTGATGTTGATGATGATGATGAGGGGGAGGACGGGGATTTGTGATCGGTGGAGCTGCTGCTGCTGTTGCTGCTGCTGCTAGTCGCGGCGCTAGTGGTTTTGTTGCCGCTGCAGTAGTTGGTGTATATCACTCCTACTACCGGGCTGTCGGTGCTGGTGTCTTGGCTGCAGGACGAAGGAAGATTCTGGTAGGCGTCGCTTTGGACGACGTACAGGTCCTGGCTGTGTACTTTGCTGGGACAGCCGGGGATCGACTTGCCAAGGCTGGAGGGTCGGTAGATCTCGAGGATGGGGAGCGCGCGAGAGGCGGAAAGGAGTTGTTGGATTTGGAGCAGAAGGCGCGAGGTGAAGCGGAAACAAGAGGTCGACTTGGGAGGGGGGTGGGCGAACGGGAAGACCTGTTGGGGTTGCGATTTGGTGGTGGTCGCTGTGGTAGGTCTGCTGGTTGGATCGTTGTTAGAGATGTGGTTATACTTCGGAGGTTGCAGTGTGCAGGTGTGGATGTACAGTACGTACCTGCTTTGGCTAGAGACGGTACTCTCCGTGTCGCTGTCAGTTACGCTCATGGTTTATTTTGGGCGCTTATTGCCAGTGTCACTGCCAGTGTCACCCTTGTAAAGTTTTGACAGTCAGAAGTAATTCTTCAGGAGCAGCTGGGAGATTATGAAGGCTTTAAACCCCACGATCGTTCACGTCGCTGTCGCTGTCGCTGTCATCGTATTCGTACCTTCAGCCCTGCTCCGCACGGTCATTGCGCGGTCGGGGCTGTTTGACCGACTGCAGTCACCAATCCTGCGACCATTTCCTGCAATGCTTCTTTTTTTTTTTTTTTTCCCATTTTTTTCCTAACGCCTAGCGCATCCGATTTTGACTGGTGCGACTGGTAGTTACAAGTGGTACAATTGGGACAACTGGGCCAGCCAAGAACAGGGATTCTTTTTTTGGGGGCTACCCTCTAATCTCTTATGGAGTACATACGTAACGGAGGTCAAACGGGCAGTTCCAGCGGCCGAGAAAAGACTCGACCAAACACTAAAGCACTTTAGCTCCGCTGGGCTGAATCGGAGATCGTAAGCCCCGCTGCCGGACTGACCTTTTTGGTATCGGGATACGGATACGACCGAGCCCGTTGCCTGCTCCGTTCCGTGGATTCTGGGTTGTCAGGAACGGTTGACCTCTCCCAAGAAACAAAAAAAAAATGATACGAGTACGATCTATTACTGATCCCTAGGTTCGTTGACCCTGAACAACGAAGTGCGACAAATCAAGAGTGGGGTATCATTCCTTCATCTAATCTTACACTTCTAGTAAGCAGCGCCAGCATAAGCAATGTAGGCACAACCGAGCCCGCGGTTGAACACCGCCCCTGAATCCTGCTGCTTCCCGCGGGAGTCGGAACTCACAACTCACACCCGGAGTCTCCCCCAATCTTGCATTTCCCCTACCGAGTCGCGCACACGCGGCGGTTGCGGCGAGGCGTATTTCTCTCGGGGGCTCAGTACGCCTTTTCAAAGGCCAGCTGGCAGAATCCCTTTCTCTATCCTCATAACAAAGATCCATCTGGATTGACAGCCTTTTCAAATCTGGTAGAAAGGTTCTCGATGCAAAAGCTTCCTCCCACTCCTTCCACCGATCACTCTGCGTCAGCATTGCCGGTCCGCGCAAGCGCAACGTCGTCAGAGTCCGCGGGAATAGCCTGTACAAGCCTAGCAGGTGCGACTCATCACGGAACACCTCCCCTACCGAGAGTTGCAAGATCTTCAGGCTTTCCATCTGTGGTAAGAACTGCACAAACATCTTTTCGTTGGTCTTCTGGAACTCGCAGCAACCGTTCGTGGAGCTGAGGTGCAGCGCGGAGGTGTTCCGGACAACATACGGCAGGGCCAGGGTCATGCGGGCGAAAGTGCACAAAGCATCGTTCTCGACGATCTCCAGCGTCTGCAGGCTGACCTCATGCTGCGTCAGTGGTGTGTTGTCTGGGTCGAGCTCGTTGCAATTGGGCCCTCCGTATTTAGCGTCCAACCAGGCCATGACTAGCAAGGGAAGGAAGACGACTTCAATCTCCCTCTCTTCGGGAGTGCCCTTGTGGACCGTTAGGTATACTGGCTCGGCCTCCCCACGAGAAGTAGCTTCCTTGTGTCTACGTTGCAGCTCCAGGTTGTCTGGGCCCTCGAAACGGAGGCCGCTGGTCTAGTCGAGGATCAGATGAGAGACCCGTCCCTGGCGGATGAATGGGGTTTGAGTGAGAGTCCCGGAAGCGGAGCTGATCAGCAGTCGAGAGAGGGGCCAGTGAGAGGGAATGTGTCTGTCATTCAGGTCTTCGTTATACCCCGTATGAATCTCAAGGTTGCGGATAAGGGGAAAGTGAAGGCCTAGGATGGCCCACTCTGCGTCGGAGGGAGTGTCGTTTTGAATGAAGAGGGTGTCAGTATCTCGTGGGATCAGAGGGAGTTGCAAGGAAAGCTTCTGACGGTGATCGGGTTTGGATTCTCCGTGGGCCCCTTGCACCTGGACTGTAGGTGACGCGGTGGCCAGTTGCCGTAGTCTGAGCGGGCGAAGGCGCGTCGCAGTCCCTAAGAAAGGAAGTCGGCTGGCATGTCGTGGTAGAGCATGCTAGAAGAAAGGTAAGTATGGGTTTTAGGTGAGATGGGTTGTGAAATGCACTGTACCATAGTGTCAATTCCCGAAGTTGTAGAGAAAAGGAGGTTAAATCACGGTTGTCATTCCTGTCACACATCTTCGTATCCTTGCATCCCATCCCCGCATTCCCTGGCCGGAATATCAGCCGGGGTTGTTTATCCGTTCCTGGAGGTCGTGCTGGGATACCAAGAAAAACAAATACCAATATCGAAAGACCACAAAGCACGCGACCGGCATTTGCCTGCATGTTTGTTCATTTTCCAATCAGCCTTCAGTGGTTCTAGTTGGAGCTATTGAGAAGAGGCTCAAAGGCACGCAGGTGTGTCTTTTTTGTGAGCGATTGTCTTATATGCCCTGGAATGACCAGAACGAGCAATCGTAAGTCATGCAAAATCAAATAAGATGAATTGCGATCTTATGTACTGGTTCTGAGCCTAGTCTGCAGAGATCTCTCAGTCTTGGAGGCTGCCGCTGTATGGCAAGTGGGGACTGGGAAGAGCTTAATTGAGTTAATTAGAGCAGGAAATATAAAAGCTCCAGCCTCTAAGCACCACCAAACAAGCTCTAGTTTTTGTCCCTTCTCTCTGTTGTCATAAAAGCTTCCTGTCTACCGCAATCCAATCCATCTAGCAAATCTGTGTTGTTTACATGCGGGAAACCCCCAGAAACTGAAATTGTCGTGTCGGACAAGGCAAAACCCGTTCCAAACTCCGCAAAGCCCGAGCCAGCCACTCCTACGCAAGCTAGATCCATCTGACGGACAACTAGTCATCCTTTCAGTCAATCACACTCCTATCGAGAAATTGAAGGAGTGCTAGACATTTCAAACGGTACTCTTGTTTACAATGGTCCCACACTTGCAACACAAGCTTTTATTTTCTTCCCGCTCATGTCGGATCATAAGGTTTGAGCATGTCGTCATGGATTACTGGTGGTGTCAGCTATAAAGGCACCGACATCCTCTACTACCTCATCCCTCTTTCCCCTTAACTTGACCCTTACAACCAAAAACCCATCTCTCTTTCAGATATACAGCACACATTCCACCGACAAAATGAGCACCTCAACTCCCAGCTTCGCAATCGCCCAAGCCGTAGGCCTAACCGGCGCGGCCTGGCTATCCGGTAAGCCACTCTCATCCTCTGCCTCGGTGTCACAACCACTGCAGTCCACTAATCCGAACCCCCCAAAAACAGGAAACATCTTCTCCCTAAGCTTGATGGGCGTGCCCCCGCTGATCGAAGCCCACCACACGGAGAAGATCCCGCTCTCGACCGTCGTCAAGCAGTGGCGCACCATCTACACGTACGGCGCGCAGCGCGCCCCGGCCATCGCCCTCAGCACCGCCTCCACCTTCCTGTACCTGGCCTGGAGCGTGCGCGAGAGCACCCCACTGAGCCTGATCACCGCGCGCCACAGCTCCAAGGTCTACGGCCTCGCGGCGGGGTTGACGCTGGGCATCGTGCCCTTCACCATCCTGGCGATGAAGAAGACCAACGACCGGCTGTCGCAGTGGGCCACGGTCAAGACCGAGGCCGACTGGACCCCCGAGGCGGACGCGGAGGTGGAAGGCCTGCTGTGGAAGTGGACCTGGCTGAATGCCGCCCGGTCGGTATTGCCGTTGCTGGGAGGGTTGGTGGGGTTGGGGGTTTTTGCTTGATTTCTACGTCGAAGTACATTTAGACTAGGTCTGGGAGGTGGTGCAATAATGTGCATTCGTGCTGGAGTTAATGGAGTTGGCCATATCGAGTTGTATCGTTGGGAAAGTTTGTTGCAATTTTTGATCCTGGCCAGTGTCCGGACAAGTCCGATAAGCTTCGCGATAAGGTCTTTGCTTATCGGGTGTCCGATAAGATTTCCGCTGCCTTGATACCTTGTCTGCCTTTGATGTTTAGGTTTGGATGCAGTTACTGTACCTGTCTATAGTTCATAGGACGTCTGGGTCAAGAGGCTTGGTTTACTTTAACATTACAATCGAGTGTAAATATTGCATGCTCGCTTTTTAGAGATACGAAGCGTTGTGTGAGTTGAGGGTCCATCTAACCCAAACCGTTCAGCAAAGTGACTCATCCACCCAATTAAATCCGAAGACTTAAGTATGCACTGACGCCCTGTAGTTCCAGTTGCCCCATTGCTACTCCTCAGAAACCAAAGAACAAGATCATCTGTGTCTTGGCCGTCACTCCAAGATATACCAAGCAAACCACTTCAATACTATTTAGTAGCCCTTACCTTCTCCCACCCCATACCCGCAACATGAGCCAAACAAACCCACCACCAACCCTGCCAAACTCTAGCTCCAGCATCACCCTCACGCCCATCAACCTCCACCACCCCGCCGACTACGCTGCCCTCCAACACCAACGCACAATTTGCGGCTGGGACGAAACCGACGAAGCCCTCCTCGCCTGGCGCGCCAAGCAAGACGCGGGCCTCAAATCCTTCTTCTGGATCGACATCGTCCCAGCTCCCACCTCCGCCTTTGCCTCCACCTCCACCTCCAGCAGCAACAGCAGCGACAACAAGGACAACAGCAACAACCAGACCCCCACGGCCGAAACAATCCACGCAGGCCACATCTCCCTCGACGCGTACGCCCACCCGCCAGACCGGGACCTCGCCACAGTCGACCGCACCAACCTGACCATCCAGTCGTTCTTCATCCTGCCGGAGCACCGGCAGAGCGGGCTGGGCCGGCGCGCGATGGCGCTGGTCGAGGCGCGGGCGCGCCGGGACCCGCGCTGCAGGTACGTGACCCTCAACGCGGTCAGCAAGGCGTACTACGCGGACCCCGTGCGGCGGCGCTGGATTGAGCGGGTCCGCGGCGAGGGAGGCCTTCCTGTTGCGGAGTGGTATGAGAGGATGGGGTACGTGCGGTGGAAGACGGAGCCGCGGTATACGGATTGGACGCCGGAGGGGGAGGAGGTGATAATCGAGGCGGATTTTATGAGGAAGTCGGTGGTTGTGGAGTAGATGGTGGTTTGGGCTCTGTGGCCTGGGTTCAGTGTGCTGTATATATGAGAATGTGTCTGCATTCTGCATTATGATGGAGTTCAGGTGGGTGAGTGCTGGTTTGAAATCTTGTAGCTGGATCTGTCTTCACTGAGATATGCTGGACCTCCACCTACAAGGCTTTCGATGCTGAAAGGTGGGTGGGGTTGTCAGTGTTTCGAGCATAGTACATAGTGAGCAGAAAAACAGTAGGCTACGTGGTTAGACCCCTGCCTTTGATTGGCTGTTCAACTACTCTTGAATATCGATGGGCATTAGATCAAGACCGGTGACGTACACGCTTGTGAGGATACTTTGATAATAATAGGCTGAGGCTGGTCAGAGTAACACACAAAGATTTCGCTCTTCTCAACCACACAATCTCAGGTGAGATCAGATCTTGCTCAAGTGAGTCTTTACTCTGTCGATGCCGTCTCCCCACCTGGAGGAACACTCCCTCACTTTACTTCCTACCTTCTCCATCGATGGGACAACGCGATCTCGCAAGCAAATTCGAGACTGCAGATTGTTCGCTCACCTATTTGCACAAAGCTATCGCGTCTCTACAAACCCAAGATGTCGGCTCTTTTAGGCGAGCAGCATTCTACAGAATACCTAAACGAGTATTGCGGCGGTGAGCTGATCGCCACGGCGGTCTCGTTCATCATCCTGGAACTCGCCTTCGCGGCTGTCCGTTTCTGGGCCCATAAGAGGCAGAGAAGAAACTGGGGCGTGGACGACTGGCTGATGGTTCCCGCCCTTCTGGCCAATCTGTGTGTCTGTATCACAGGAATTGGTAAGTATGCCATTTTATATCTGAGCAGATCACTGCGACTACTATGACCTCACGTTTGTTGGCGCCTTCTTCTCCCAATGATAAGATGCTGGTGGAGTCGAGTTTCGTGATAGCTAACACGATGAGCAGTGATGATCCCTGTCGCCGGTGTTGGACACCACATAGACAAGATCTTGAAGGAAGCGCCTTGGAAACTCATTCAATTCCAGAGAGGCATTTTCGCTGGAATATGGGTATGGGGCTTGGCGATAGCTCTACCCAAGCTGGCAATTCTCGCTTTCTACCTTCGCTTCTTCAAGTCCCGAAACGAGCGGATCGTCACCTATGTCCTCATGGCCACTATCGCATCGACCTATGTTGCCATTTCTTTGGCCCACACGTTCGCATGTATGCCTGTGGGGTATCAGCTGGACCCCTTCAAGCCGGGAAAAGGTCAGTGTTTTGATACAAAAGCATTCTATCGTTGGATGTCCTTCCCAAATATCATCACGGACGTCGCCATGTTGGTCCTGCCTCTTCCAATGGTCCATCGGTTGCATACATCACATGCTCAGAAGATTGGACTTGGGATAATATTTGCCACTGGCGGAATGTAAGTACAGTACATACTCCATTGTTACGCGTTTGCAGCATCGTATAGTCGGTGCTTACCGTTGAGTCGGGGGCTAATCTGCCATGTTTCGTACAGAGGCCTAATTACCTCCTGTTGCCGGTTCGCAATTTTTTACAGCGACGCTGAACGTAGGGACGATACTTGGAAGGCGGCGTCTCTGCACATGTGGACCGAGATCGAGCCTGGGGTGTACTTCCTCGCTGCGTGCATGCCATCCTTTCCACCACTCATCCAGCTTCTCAGAACTCGATTTGTTAGGCCCAAGAGAGGTTCAAGTCAGAACTATCCCTCCAGCCATAAAAACATTGCCCTCTACACCATCGGCGGAAGTGCCCGGCTTCAGGATTCTGTCCCCCTGACCCCGTCCAATACACATGAGGATTTCCCTCCACTGAGTGACGATGAGGAGACGGCTAGAAAGCCAGCGATCCCGGATTACAACGACGATGGTGGGCTCCGGCACAGTGTTGCCTATGTTGATTTGGCCGGCATCGAAGCTGCTCGCAGTGGGAGTCCACGGACTCTTCGAGAACTATGGCCTCCCAGGAGGATCCGTGTCATGGAGACAGTCAGCGTTCGGCACGACGGATTTGGCTCCCTGCACAGTCCCTGAATTATCTCGGACAGCTCCAGCCAGTCATGGTCGAAGATCCGGCGGGAAGTGCCTGAATTGTCAGGAAATCTAGCTGAGAAGAAAGGTGGGAAAAGTGGATAACTGATGTGGTAATCAGTGTATCTCCATGTATTTACACTTGAGAGTTGTGATTCAGATAATGTAACTACACCAGTGCAAACAAGAAATGACTTGTCTATGCGTGACTGAACCGGATCGTTGCATGCAATGGTCCAAGGACTTTGGAGGTAGGAGGAAACTTCATCCCGTTGAGGTAACCACTACTGTGCTGCTGCCTGAGGCCCTATCCACTATATCCTCACCGAGACACCCACTTAGCTATCCATCCGTGACAACCATCAACTTCCGAAAAGACGCTTCTTGTTCTCCCTCGATCATGGTCCCATGTTCATTTGACACTCAGCCGATTCAGCGGGCTTTCATGGCTGTATTCAAATTTGATCAGCATATACGGTGCTCTTACAGGAGAATTGGACCCCTGATCGAAGACTTCGAACCTCAGAGCACGATCAAAACACCTCCCAGAACCGACGATCTTTTTTTTTGAAGCCCCGCTTCCATCCACCGAAGCTTGTCGAATCATCATTTTCGAGTCGGATGTCTCGTCTCGCATGTAACTCCTACACTACCGGTTCCGTATGTTCAATCCGGATATAACCCATTTGAACTCAGAATACCTACCTCCAATTGACGCCGGCACGCCATCGGCTGAATAACCGAACAGCCAGCCACCTGCATAGGACAGTGCGGCTATTGAGTGTGGAGTATGACAGCTCTCAGGGGCGCTCCCCAAAAAGGTAGATATCGGCAGGAGTTCATGCACCATGTCATAGGATCGGTGCCAATGGCGGTATCCCTTGCGGGATCCAGACCCTGGCGGAACACTCGCATGGAACACCAGCAACAATCATTCCAGTTTCGGTCAAGGGTGTACCATCCTGGTCACTCGGAAAAGGCTAAGTCGACGATCATGGCTGGATCCTTGGCATCATGACTTGTTTGGATATGTCAGATCGGGATCGAAGACCTCGAACATGGGACCTGTCAAATATGCCAGGGGAATGCGCCGGTCGAGAAGTTCGTCCCTGCAGTAGCATGGACTCTGCATCTGGAGAACCAAGCCACACCCCCCTATTCTCCACTGCATTGACAGATCATGAGAGGATTAGCGATCACTTCTCCTGGTCATGAGCACACGATAGCCTTCGCCAATTCACCAAGAATAGATCCATCGTACATGTCACAGTTGGCCAAACCCAAACCCGAGCTTTCTTATGGAAAGAAAGGTATAAAGTCGCCGTCAAGCCCACAACATCCATCTCCTTTTCATCAGCTTCAAGCCAGCTTCTCCTTCCACTCCTTTCTACCAACCTCAATCGCTCACCTCAACCTCCAACTCTTCAAGATGAAGACCTCCGCTCTTTTGTCTCTCCTCGCCGCTGCTGGCATGGTTGCCGCCGCTCCTCTGAATAGTATGTGAACCGCGATACCACCATCCCCTCATACCTTCTAGAACAGAGAAACTGACGGTTGTGAAGACATCCCCGCGATACCTGGCGCCCTTACCAATGCTGCCCCTGCCACCGGCGTCGAGACCCCGGACACCCACAGCAGCGTTCCTGATACCCACAGCGTTTCCGACGGGGCACAGATTGTCAACCCCCCTGCGGCCAAGGTCCCTGAGGCTAAGGCCCCCGAAGTTGCTCATGTCCCAAGCCGTCGTGGCGCGCCGGTCAACATCGGCGGCGTGTCCGGCGATAACGACATCGACGGCGATAACAACATGATCGCCTACCCTCCCAGTCATAAGCCTGCACCGGCCCCAGCTCCCATCCCTGAGCCCGCCCCTGCTCCTGCTCCTGCTCCTGCTCCTGCTCCTGCTCCTGCTCCTGCTCCGGCCCCCGCTCCGGCCCCCGCTCCGGCCCCGGCTCCGGCCCCGGCTCCCGCTTCGCACCCGGCTCCCGCGCCCGCCAGCGAGCTAGACCTCCACCACGACGCCGCCCAGGAGAAGGACCACAGCGCCAACTTCAACACCTGGGAGAACCACAACTCCGGCGTCAACGAGCACGAGCACCACGTCGACGACTACGATTACTCCTCCTACGACAACACCAGCAAGGGGGCCTCCGGTTCGATGCAGGACCACCAGGCCGGTCAGGTCAACAATAACCTTCACATGGAGAACCACTAAGCTCTCTCCCCGCTTTCGGAAAGTGACCCGTTTAGTGGGATTTGAGTTCGGTGGTCAATTATCTTGTTCTTGGTATACTTAGTGTATCTAGTGTTTAATAACCTTCCTTCGTTTGGATTTGGGGCGAACGTAAGGGGGTGGAGGTTGTTGGAGATACTTTTTCCCTTTATACTTTTGAAATACCATTTTCTTTTCTTCATTATCTTCATACGTGGTTGTGGGGTAGCAGACTGTGAGTATCCACGGTGTGGGAATGTAGCTTGTTTTACACTATCCTGAGATCCAACTGCAGTGTACTATGCAACATACAAAAAAGGTACAGAGATGTCCTTAAGATCTCCAAGCGTTGGGTATGAATAATTATGTACAAGAAAAGAAAAATGAAAGAGAGAGTAAAGAGTGTCTCGAGACCAGGAGGCGGGAAAAAAGACAACAATCAGCGAAAGTGGAACCATCAAATACCTTACGTGACCACCACCCTCTGGCGCACATGGATCCGATTCCGGGGCACATCCGCCGATCCGCCCGCCGCCCTGGCCGCATACCGACTCTTCCAGCCGCACCGGCCCAGCGCCAACGTCTCCAGGGTCTCGGTCCGGCCGCCCCAGAGCTTTCCGCGCGAAGAGGATGAATCGGAGGAGGCGGCGCCGCGCTGCACGGGCGGGATCCAGAAGTGGGTGACGGCGGCGCCCAGGACCATGCACACGCTGAAGAGGATCAGGATCCAGCCGTGGCGGATGGTGGGGCCGTCGCCCTCGCCGGTGCCGAAGTTGTAGTAGGCCGAGAACACCTGGACGAGGATGGAGCCGAGTTTGCCGGCGCCGGCGCTGATGCCGTGGCAGGTGGCGCGGTAGCGCGTCGGGAAGATCTCAGCCGGGATTATGTAGGTTGTTGCGTTGGGGCCTGTGGGTTTTGAGTGTTAGTGGGAGTGTTTGATTCTGGGATAGGTGGTTGGTTTATGTTGCGAGGGGAGTGGGGGAGTGGGTTGCTGGGCATATGGCATGGAGACAGGAAAAATTCAAAACATACCGAAGTTGAAGAAGGTTTGGCCGATGATGTAGAGGGTTATGGCGGTGGCTCCTTCCTGGTGCACGGTGATGTACATGGTGCCGAGAGCGATGAACAACGCGGCTAGGGCGAGGAACATGTATTTCTGTAGGGCGGTACGGTCGAGTTTGTGAATCACCAGGATGAGAAGAATTCCACCGAGAAAACTGCCGCTGTTGAGGATAACGAGTGCGTGGGTGGAGCTGGCGAGGAGCATGTTGTAAACACTGGCACCGGGACGGTCGTCGGTTTTCCAGTAAGGGGCGGAAGAGTCGAGGTGGAGGGACCCCCACGTTTTCGCCAGGAACTGCGGGCTGGAGAGACTGATCCCGTAGAAGCTGAAATCCAGGAAGAACCAGGCAAGACTGGTGGCGGCAAGGGTGCGCCAGTTCCCTTCGATCCAGAAATACTGGCGAATATCCCGGCGAGTCAGGTGCCAGTGGGAGTTCAGAGTGGCAGGTTGCAAGATCTCGGTCTGGGAGGGAGAGCGCTGAGTATCATGGTCTTCGTCGTCTTCGTCGTTCTCCCCAGCGGTGATTGTAGTAAGCGAGATGCCGGGAATTGAAAAGTTGTGCCAGCTTGCGGAGTCTTCGCCGGATGGAGAAGAGCCAGTCAAGGTGGATGGAGAGCTGGCGTGGAAGTCGTCGAACAAGGTGGTGGCATCGAACTCAGCTTGAACAGGGTCGTCGTCAATCTCGAGCACGAAACGAGGAGACTCCGGGATCACGAAACGAAACAAGGTCGCAATGGCGCCCGGGATGACTCCGATGCCGATAACCCAGCGCCACATGATGTCGACCGTGCGAGTTAGATCCGCGGTGCCCTGCTTGCGACTGATGGTGATAATGATGATGGCGATGAGGTTCCCGGCGACCTGTCCAAGAGGCTGCATGAAGAAAACCGAAGCCATCATGCGTGCACGGTGCTTGGTCGGCGCAAACCTGCCCGCCTGTTAGCATGATCGCACGCAGTAGGTCAGCTGATAGAACAGTGAGAACACCTACTCAGACGTAATGACCGCGCTCAGCGGATAGTCAGCTCCTACCCCAATTCCAACAATGATTCGCCACCAGAGCAACCATGCGTAGACGCTCATGCTGCCGTTCTCGCCTCGGGAGGCCATCACAACCCCCAGGGTGGATGTGATCATTAGAATCAGCTCCAACCCATACATCTTCTTCCGTCCGTAGCGATCCGCGAGGTATCCAAATAAAACCTGCCCAAAGAGTGTGCCGGCAAGTGTAGCGATATTAATGCAGGTGACATGCATAGACGATAGTTGATCGCGCCAGTAGACGTAGGAGATCATCGGGAAAGCCATGTTGCTTGCAAAGAGCTAAAACAATTGCCATTAGTGACTAGTTACCTTGGGAAGATCAAAAGGCGAAGCATACTGTGTAGCCGTCGAGGAAGAAGCCGACCCCGGCGACAAAGACGACGATCCATTGGAATGCTTGTCGATCGATGGTCTCATAAACCTGGCGCATCCGAACCTGACGATCCTATATGGAAGTAGAGACTCTAGGTCAGTCTCAACACTTCTCCTCGTAAATGCATTTGAAGCTGTACCTGTTCATGATCAAAGTCTTGCGCACGGTCGGTTTTGTACCACCGCTTGCCCATAGCGATTGACTTGTTGCTGTAGAAGCTGTATCAATTAAAAGGCAGAAATAGAGATAGAAACCACGTTTAGCCAAATGACATAATGAAGCAGGAAGAGCCTAATGCAAAGAGATCTTGCAGGATCGCGGCCCCCAAAGCAGGGGACTGAGGTAGATGAAGAAAAAATCTGACGAGGTGCACCTCGAGGGAAGCGATGGCAAAACAGCGAAGAGGAGGAGGAACGGAGGAAACCGAAGCTAATGAGAGTGGAAACAATTTACAGGATGCGCTTATTGGATTGGAGTTTGGTGGCGTGGTCGATTGAAGGCCAGGTGAATGAAGGTAAGAAAAGGTCCACAGGCACGCACTACAAGGTATGTAGTCAAGGTTAGGACTATCCATGGTCAAGCTCAGGCCCCGTCATGCGATGGTGAAGAGATGAGTAGGTGAGTGGGTGAGTAGGTGAGTGGGTGAATGGGTGAATGGGGGTGGATTATGGATGGTGGGTGCCTGAGGTCCGGGGGGGGGGAGCGTCTTAGTGTATGCCGGGAATAGATGATTAGATTAGGATTTAGTGATCCCGCACGGGGTGCTTGGGCCAATTCCCATCCCCTTAACCCCACGTGCTGCACTTCTGGGGATTGAGAGGTGCGTTTGCGACCCACTCCCGGTAAGAAGTCACTCGACTAACTTCCCTTCAATTTCTGTCTCACCACATCTCCTCATACATAGTACAATCTACTTTCTACCACGTGGGGAAATCTCCGAGTCATGTTCCACAGATGACGCATAACGGGGGGGGAAAGGCAGAAAAGAAAATAAAAATAAAAAAGAGCGCTTTGTCTAACGACTGCCGACACGGGTATAAAAATGATACATGGAATGTCGTGGCAAATGAACAAAATGAAAGACCAGAAGACTAGTGCGACCTGGATACGAAACAAAGATCCTTCGACCCACATAATGAGCCTAGCAGCGACTTTATACAGTGGGACACACGTGGTGGCCACCATCGCCCGAGGCAATTCAATCCTCCCCCTTCCCCCCTTCTCCTTGAATTATGCAATCGTAATGCTGTAGTCCCCTCTCTCCTTCTCATCTCACTTGATGTGGTCGCTCAGAAACTGGCAGAACGCTATTCGATCTAGACCGGGTCATTACTCAGCCTGGGGAGAGGTTTCGAACGTGCACAAGGGAGCGTACCTGTATCGTCCAGGAACTGGATCTGTAGCGTCTTCATTTGAGTTAGGATATCAAAATTAGGTTGGAGCTGTATTACTACAGGCCGCCCTGGCTTCTTGCCGGGATTACAACTTTCAATACAATTCACTGGGAGAGATTAGCCGGTCAAATCCTGCTGTGGCCGACCGGCCGACCGGTCGGCCGGGGTCCCAACTCACCTGGTACTTTCACGTAGCGCTTCAAGTCTTTCCGCTGAGAATTGGCGAAAAATAGCATGACTTGCTTGCCATTGGGTCCGCGGAGGATACGTAGATTTTGGCTGATGCACTCCTCTCCACGGCCTTTCGACTTGGCTTCTGCAATTCCGGCAAGAAAGACTAATTTGGATGCTAGAATGATCTCCTGAAACTGAACACAGTCTGCAGGTTTGATTGTCAGCTGAAACCCTTCTCCGAGCGGGTTGTCGCCGTGCGCACCTCTTTCTTCTTCAAATTGGTATGATAATTGGGTCGTAAACACGGTCTGTACGGATTGTACGGTCTGCTCTTCCATGAAAGAGATCCGTAGCGAGGGTTCGTTGGGACGTTTAGGATGTTCTAAGTGTGGGACAGGGATTTTCGACTCGTTAACTAGGATGAGAAGAAATGGTAAGCCGGTCTGTAGTCGATATGTGACGGATGGGAACGGACAGGTATGAATTAATGGGGTTTGCTGGCCAGGGCCACCTCCGAGCTCCAGGCACCTGAGGCTGCCAGTAGTATCCTTGCGTACGTCGATGTAGGTATAACGGAGCTTGAACAGTTTGTTACTTCGCACGAAAGTGCTGCCATCAAGTCAATGAAATGAAGAACACTCGGTTGAAAGTAGGGGGCCACCCACATGGTGACATGGTTGTTGAGCGGGATGTGGATGACTTCCTCGTGTAGCGAGTAGCACGAGGCTTCTCTCGATCGCGAGCCTACAGAGGAAGCCGTTCTGCTGAGGGGGTGCGAAGTGAAAGGCGAGGTGCCTGGACTGATCTGGCCGGACGATTGAGTTGATGAGGACAGTGTACTTTCTCGCCGAGAAAGTGGAAGAGGCCAATCCTCTGGATCGTGTTGAGGGCCGGACAGGCCCATTGCAGAGGGGTCGCAAGAAATCGACAGATATCTAATCCTCACAGTGGTAGACGCGACGGTCCACTAATTGACTGCAAGAGGCACTATGTCACCGAGGGGAGGATGATCTTGCGGATCCCCAGAGACGGTCTGACGTACGGGGAAGGGAGCTGATTTTCACCATCTCGAATGCTCTAGTGAATGGAATGAGTCGCGGGAAGCGCCTCGACGCATGGCCGGCGATTCGATCACACAGTCACCCGGATGGCCTGGTGTGAGTGGATTCACCTACAATATTAATCAGACCCAGAATCATAACTCACTCCACACAGCGACCGATAAGAAAGCGTCTCAAAAGTGCCAGTTCATGGGATTTGGTGGATGCCAAGGGGCGTTTCTCCCGGGGATCCAGAGCTGGGGGGGGAATAACCTGTCAACGTGCGCAAACAAGTGGCTGCCAGCAAAAGCTTGGGGGAGAGTTGGGTGGGTGGAGCCCAGACGGGGAGAGGGGATCGTGTCTGGACCCATCCGGGCAGTTAAGGTAGTCTGAGTCCCTCGTGGTGAAGGCGCACTCCCGTTTACGCTAGAAGATTGGACCTCGGAACCAGGTGCTGAATTCCCAATCAATGTTTGGATAGTTGAGTCATTTTCCAAGCACCTCATCACGGTGGAAGGAGTGAGTTCCTGGTTATTCTGTTTGATGTCCGCCATATTCTCTTAAACCTGCTCCGAGGCCCCGAAACAATAGTGCCGGTCCTCCAAATCGGAGGTGTTGAGTTGCCCACGTTCATCGAGCATTGACATCGGCAGTAAAAGGTCAATTCTGGAGCATGTCTCTCTCGTGCAGTGACCTGCAGTTGATCGTGGGTCTGTCAATCGATCTTTAATCAATCTTCCACTCCGCACGGGAACAATCATGGCCCGTCCGAAATCCTGTTGGGCCCATCTGGAAAATCGAAGGACAATAGAAGGATCGAAGAGCGACATCTGCAGGCTGGGATCAGCAGGCTTACTCAGCCACTCTCCCGTTGTCGAGTCAATTTCCATCGCTTAGTTCGAGTTCCATGGATGGCCCAGATTTGCGTCACGTTCGCCTCCCGCCAAAGAGAACCCAAAATAGTGGAATGGAAAGTGAAATTGTATTAGTAAGTCTATGTACCTCTATCTGCACCGCCTACTCCAGGAGCGAGGCATCCTCAAATAGCAGAATAAAACATCGAAAGATGGAAAGAAATCATATGCAAAGGCACCAACACCGGCTAGGAAGTAAAAATAAATGTATGAAAATGCCCGAGGATGGGAGATGTGCGAAAGGCAACGAAGGGATTGCGGTATCTATGTCATAGCACAGCGGTCACGGTGATGCTGAATTCACTTCGAAGCTGGTGGACGGTATGGGATTGGTAAGGCGGCCATTCCAGGGAACTGTTGGATTTGTGGGTATAGAGCGGGCGATTTCCAAGAATTGAAAACAATATATAACCTAGAATGCGGCCCAGTGGATGGGACACTGGACATCAAGTCAGCATATCTGGCCGAAAGTTTGTGACGCCGATTTGCGGGACTCGGCTGTTTGAGGCGGGTGCGCATAGCCGGTGATGGGGCGGTTGCCACTGAACTTACTTTTTTTGTTCATCAAAAGAGGCAACGACGACAGGGTAGAGCCGGATATGATATATGACTGGCGGGGAAATACAAGCAGTGCTCTTGTGCAGGTTGCGATGACGGCGGAATATAACGATGGCGACTTTCGGCTGTCGCATGCTGAACTTCAGTCGGCAAGTCGCGGCTGCGCCGGTTAGTAGAGCAGTCTGCTCTCCTCTCGAAATCGATACCCTCCAGGTGGACGATCCGATCAGTCTTTATGAGCTGCAATGCGGCACCAAAGCTTGGCTTAGACGCAAATGGACCTAAGGCGGGCCATCACTGCTTCACCGAGCCGATTCATACCAACGCTAAACCGATATCTCTTATCCAGACCCTCCTGTCTTACTCGTGGCTAGCCTATTGACGAGGCTTCTGTGCGATGATTCGGTAGCTCGTCGATACTAATCGCATTTTGTCCATCTTCACAAACGCCTCGCCATCGAGGCACAGGCGGTTGATCAGGGTCTTGAAATGTTTGGGCAGCATGTGAGCCTTGACGAGGCCCAGAATAAGCTGGCGCATTGAACGGAAGTAGAAATCGACCTTGTCGATGAGCGGGGCTTGCAAGCCTCCAACACTGGCATTGTCAGAGCGCAGGACTTTGAAGCCGGCGTCTGTGAGGGCTTTCTCGAGGCTCTCCGGCGTGGGAGTACCGACGGCGCCGATGAGAGGCTTCACGCGACTCATGAGTTCGACATGTTCAGGGTTGGAGGGGTCATAGTCAGGCAGGCTGACCCAGTCGAGGCAAGAGAATTTGGCGCCGGGCTTGAGAACGCGATAGATCTCGCGGAAAAGGGTGGGGAGGTCTTTGCACAAACTCAGGGCCTGGATCTGGTAAAAAGCATCAAAGCTGGCATCTTCAAAGGGGAGGGGCAAGCTGTTGAAATCCTGGACGACAAAGGAATTGGAGGCGAAGCCAAGCTCCTCGTTGTAGGAGCGTGCCTGAGCAATCTGGTTGGGGTCGATGTTGAGCCCGGTGACTTGCGCGCCCGAGTATTGCGTCATGTGAGCGGCCACCCGCCCGCGCCCGCAGCCCAAATCCAGCACTTTATCGCCCGGCGACAAGCCGATATCCTGCGCGATCGACTCCTCATACAACAGCTGGTTCTCCAACACGGTCGCCTTTTTGCTCATGTACGGCGGAATATACATCTTCTCTACGTCGCCCAACGCACAGAGATGGTTGAGGACGCCATAGTACGCCTTGAGACAATCGCCAACCTTTGCCTGATAGTTCGGTCCCAGCGTCTCGACCATCTGCTTCTCATCCGACCAGTCGAGGTTGTAGATGACGTATGAAGCCATAAAGTCATCGACCTGCTTGGTCGTCAAATTGTGAAGGTATCGGAAGGACTTCCAAAATGTCTTCCATCTCTTTGGCGAGGCCGAATTTTCGAGGTCGGGCAGGCTGTCGTGCGCCGCCAGCTTCTGTTTTTCGTTGGCGACGGCATCCAAGGAGGAGCTGCTCTCCGAGCTCCGTCCGGATTCGCGCGAGGCCAAGACAGTTTGCGTTTCCATTATATATACTCAACGATGAAGTCACGACTGGAGGTCCAATAGTTCGCAGCGGTCAAGATCACCTGCGCGCAATCTCCCTCTAGAATTGAGTCTCTGGTAAAGAAACACCAGGGACAACAAAGATTTCGGAGGAAAAGGAGAAGAGAAGGAAGGGGGGTTAAGAGGAGTTCAAATGGAACGGTAAGAGACGGCGGTTAGAGCTACTGTCCAAACGATACCATGCCAATTATGCAGCGCTTCTTCAACAGGATAGAGAGCGGGGCTAGGCTTAATTTATAAGCATTGCAACAGCGTGTAATTGAAAATTTTCCAAAAAGGCGCCCTGTGACGGGTATCTTCTTTCGAACAACGGCACTGGCCGGCGCCGGCACCGAAGGGGGGGCAATCCTAATAAGACGGATGGATTTTCCAGATTAGCCAGACGACTTGCCATGGATGCTAGTTGGCGATGGTCCATGTGGATTGCAGTGTCCTTGTCACCAGATCTGGCAACCAGAGTCGGAAGTCTCGGAAGCTGAGGGTCGAAAGGGTCGAAAGGGTCGAAAGCGACCAAAGAAGCAGCACGGGAGGAAGCGGCAAGACGACGAACCGGAAACGGACAGCGCTCTGGATTCAATGATGATTTTTTTTACGAACTATGGCTCAACCACCACTCAGAACACAGGACAGAAGACTTGCATCCCTTGTTGGTCGCTGACCGACTTAGTCTCTAGCTATCTACTTACGACGTTTACAGACCAGGTAGCTGTCAGCCCCTCCTCCCAACCGCCAGGGTACTTTAGGGCTGGCTATAGTATAAGTACATGTATGATGTCGGAGGTGTGCATTAGTTAGGGTAAAACTACTCCCTTCAAGAGACTAGTCGGTACTTGCTTATGGAATCGGGCCACTAAATTCAAGCTCCCACCCCGGTCCTTGGTATGAGTCAAAGGGTCTAAGTTAATTAATTATTACTCAGCCGTTGGTGCCATTGTCTAGGGCTTTCTTGTCACCTCAAACACCTCCTCTTTCCCCTCTTGATCCTCTCGAATTCTCCTCCCTGAAGAAGTTGGTCGATCGGTACTTGAGGTGGACGGGATACTTGTCCGCTGCTGTCGTCGTCACGGACAATTGATGACGAGGGCTTAGTCACATAGTTAAAAACTTCCAATATCAAAGTATCTACTCCCACCAGCATGTTATTGTCGACTGATTAGTTGGCTACTGGGCTATTTACCTAGATACCACTCATGAAATCTTGACTAACCTGAAAGAATCAAAAACCTTTGTGTGCTGTGGTCTACCCTGGATGTGGTCAGCAATGGCCGGCCAGCTACGGCACTCGGGGCCCGGACCCAGAGCATCCATTCGGAACTCCTGCAGCGCCAAGCCGTGCAGTGGTCCTTCCTTCAGCATGAGCTGACCAAGCGTCGTGCCAATTCAATTCAATCTTGGCGGTCGATGCTTGATCTACTATGTAGTTGACTATACCTCCAATACTTCTTTCTTCGGAATCGGATGTTGCACAAGCGACCTATCTCTCACAACATCCGCTCTTATACCACCGCTGTGACTGCAGAACACAGCATTAGCAGCTCCCAGTTGCTGCACACAAGGAATTTGTTTCAATAGTACGGGAGGAATTATGGAACGGGACCCTCTTCGGACTCGGGATAACGACTAGTTTGCCCTGTAGGGAACCATTGGCTCCGAGATTGGAGGTGATGAGCTGAAAATTTTCACACTTAGGAGGGTCAATAATCCATCGCATTCATGATTCATCCCTTCCTCCCCTGGCGCGGCTCTGACGGCTCTCGCGTCTCTCGATCAGGCAATTCACCGCGTCTCTCCTTCGGACTTGTAAGCCGAACAATCCGCCGCCCCCACTCGCGTGCTCGTTTCCCGTATTTCCGCTTCACCCGTCATCTACGGAGCTGACTCGCCATCACACCAATCTCAAAATCAAGATATGCCTTCGGTTTCCCGGCTCATCTCCATTTTGGGTGTGCTTGACAGATCGAGCCTTTTTTTTTTTTGTTCCCTCTCTCTTTCTTCTTCTTTGGTCTAGTTTTGTTGTTGATCTATGATTTCGGCTTTAGGGATCATTCTCGTTCCATCGCCATCTCTCAGCCGTTGCTCGGATCTCTTCGGAGTCTCGAACGGGATTATGCTAGGCAAGCGACGCTGCGAAAAAAAAAAAAAAGATACTGCTGTTGATCGTCATCATCCGCCCTCTCGCGACACATACGGTACTGTGGACCATCACCACCATGTCACCCACCGTGCTTAGTGCTTTCTTCTGCGGATGCGGACGGTCGGCTGTTCTCACTCGCGTACCCCTGAGCGCCTGGGGCCTCGTTGTAGCTTCCTTGTCCAGCATGGATTGACGGCTGATGGTCAGATTGACCGTCTGCGCATTGACGGTTTGTTCATACTATGGCGCTGTCTCTGTTGATCAGCATGGTAGCGACCGTGACGTGGCTGGCCATGTTGCACACAGATCCTTGCGCCTGCAGGGCACGGGACGGCACCAGTAAGAGGGGTGTGCCAGGTGGTGGTGGTGGTGGTCCGATCCTGGCGACTGCCCTGGTATCTGATTGGGATTGAACTTGAAGCCGTTACCATCATTTCTGGCTTGAACCCACATCCATCACGGTGCGCATTAATAATGCTACCCATCAGTTCATCACACGACGAATTGGTCTCCACTTTGGTCGGCCTGCAGCCCGCCCATTGCAATCCAGTGCTGCTTCCTGAGTGGCCCGTTGCCTTAGTATACCTGTGGTCCAAGTTTCCTGGTGGAGTTTCTTCCTGCGCTCGTGGGATCTCTCCATTCAAATTTTTCAGTTGATTGATTGTGTTTTTTTGCATTTCTTGTGACAAGGTAGGAAAAAGGGATGAGAAAAATTATGTTTTCTAGTCTGCACGTGACCGATCGGTTTCTTGGCCCATTGCCCGAGTCCAAAACAGCACTATACATCCGTCCTATCCGGTGCAAGAAGCTCAACACCAACAATGGAGGGGTTGACCATTTCTCACACACAACGTACAGCATCAAGAAACGTTTAAATAAGCTTATTTAAAGCTCAGTGCATCCGAACCATCGGCGGCAGCTCGTTCCTCCAGTTGGGATGGTCAGCGTCTGTTCCCGGATCCACTTCATTAGGCAGCCAGATATCATCCCAGGTCCCCCTTCATCGCACGCACCGGATGGATGTGTCTAGGGTCTTTTCCCGGGTTGGGCTGAGTGGCAAGATGAACTCCCCTTCCCCCCTCCTTCTCCACGCTTACTTTCGGATCTCTCCAATCATCAGGCATCGTCGGGTCTCGGGTGGTGATGGGGATCCGTCGTTCATAGGTTAGGTTGTAGCCCTGGCGGAGGAAGAGGTGGGAGAAAGAACAGCTGATCCCATCCAGCAAGGAGGGTCTACGATCCGGTCCACCGGTGTAGTACATGACAAGCGGGTCAGATACGGTGCACGGGCAGGTACCTCGGGGTCGAGTGGCCGGCAGCAGGCGGCTGGGTTGGGCTGTTCATGCCCTTGGCTGAGCTTGCTCGGTGTAACCATCCAATAGGTATTGATAGCGAGGATGACAGTAGTCTATGAGACGCCCAGCAACCCGCATATCCCGTCCAATGCTAGACCCGGATCTTCCAGACATTGTTCGGGAAGTAGATGGATTGGCCACGTCTGGTATCTGGCCAAGAAGGAAGACCCAGTGTCTTGCAGGGCCGATGAAGGTACAGTACATGGACCCAGTGGAGGAGATTCCGAGAAGAAGAACTGCCATGATACAGGCTAGAATCTCTGAGTAAGATTGACTTGTGAAGGATAGGCGAAGTAGACACCCACGCATATGCAGCAGCCCATGGCATGCAGTTCCCGCCCACTGTTGTCCTACCAGGGTGGTTGGTTTTCCAATCCCAACGTACTGGCACGTCTCGCCCAGAGCTAGCCTGCCCTTCCTATGTACTGTACTGTACTTCCGTCTATTCCGAGGGACCATGCCTCTCTGCTAGTGTTGACCCCGGGGCTTGCCACTCAGAATCTCTCCCTTTCTCTGAGCTGCTCTCTCTTACTCTTTACCTCTTTCTTGATACCGTCGAATAAGACCAGAAGTTTCCCTCACTACAACACAATAAGACAAGAAACATATCACCTCCATCCGAGCTTCCCTTCCCACCTCTTCTGAGGGGGTGACTTGCATCTTCCCGGTTTTCCACAAATTATACCCAATGTACTACTCCCACTAAGTGCCCAAACCGACAGGCCGCAATCCAGCTACCATAGTTACCTGTTTAAGTGAACCTCGTTCTCTTCTTTCAACTCAGCATACACCATACAAAGTGGAAAGAGAGTTGAAGTCGCAGCAAGGTGTGAATACTGGTAACTCACTAATCCTCAACAGTTGTAAGTAGTTTTTCTAGTTTCCTTATAGTGAACAGCTTATACTTAAGAAATTATCAAACATTTTACAAATCCAGTACCCTTACTAAAAGGAAGTATAGATAGATGTCAAACCCATCTAAAGTTATATAATTGGTAATAAAAAGTTGTATGAGTTTGCTGACCGTAATCGATAGAACTTATAGTGTATGATAGCCTAAATCAGTATTGGACTAATCTCACTAATCCATCAACAATCAGATAGTATACGTACCTGTTCCCAACCAACTTGCCATCCACACGTTGGACGAACTACATAGCGGAAATCTGTAAGGCTTGGAGGTGTTCTGAGGTAGTTGATGGATTGTTCGTGCAACTGTTCTAGTAGGCTTCAATGTAGCAGTGTCTGTTCTTCGTGTAGGGGGAATAGTGGGGGTCCTGGTTCTGGGGCAAAGACGGTGAAAGTTGGATACTGATTGGAAGCTTGTATGCGGGGATAAGCTCGAAAACATGACTGTAAATCCTTCTGGGGTGTTGACCGTGATATGTAGTTTTTACTCAATAGCCTCGGCAGAATATCAATTAACTGTCACGAAGATCGAGACGGTGCTGGATGCCTAAAACTACTCCGAGTATTCGACACTACTTGGGACATATTCGGTTGTTGTAGATGTTTACTGATAATCAGATTGTGGGGTAATGAGCCACAGTGACTGCTGATCAGTATCTGTACATTACCGCGCCAACACCATATCTCTGCCTTTAAATACATCAACTCCCAAGGGTCACTTCAACTAATCTTCAATCTATACCTATCTTTGCTTATCTTGAACAGAGAACAAGACAGGTTTATCAATAGCCCAGAGAGTATCGAACAGTCGATGCAGGCTCATACAGCAAGAAAAACCAACCCGTCCAGGTGATCCTTGGTCGAATCGATTACCGCTTTTCAAACTAAATATTATATAAATGCCAAAATTAATTCTATCCTCACACATATTCTCGGCTTAAGAAGTCTTCCCGCGTGATCCCACTCTGGTCACACATATTGCGAAAGACACCCTCGGCCTCCCACAGCCGCAGCGGCGTGTCCATCTCCGAGATCTGTCCCTGGCCCATCACGCAGATCCGGTCGTATTGCAAGATCGTCCGCAGGCGATGCGCGATGCACAGCAAGGTCTTGCCCTCGAATCCGTGCGCCATCGTCTCCTGCACCTTCTGATCCGTCTCGAAGTCCACTGACGAGGTCGCCTCGTCGCAGACGATCACCCGCGAGTCGCGCACGAGTGCTCGTGCCAGCGCCATCAGCTGTCTTTGTCCGAGCGAGAAGTTCAGACCGTCCTCTTCTACCACGGTGTCGAGGTGGAGGCGTTTCTGCACGGTGGTACTCGTGTCGGTGAGTGCGGGTGTGGCGGTTCCTTCATCGAGGCTTTTCTCCCCGCCTTCCTGGTCGACCAAGTGTGCTTTGCGGAGCGCTGACCAGAGTTCGAGGTCAGTGTGTTCATCGAATGGGTCCAGGTTGGAGCGGATGGTGCCCTTGAATAAGGTCGGATCCTGCGGGATGATTGACAGTCGCGTGCGGAGATCGTAAAGCCCAACGGTCGCAATGTCAACCCCGTCGATGTGGATCTTACCCCCCGACAATTCGGTCAGTCGGAACAGAGCGGACATGATGCTGGACTTGCCCGCCCCCGTGCGACCCACGATTCCGACGCGTTCTCCGCCTCGAATATCCATAGAGAGGCCCCTGAGCACTAGAGGGAGCCCGGCTCGGTAGCGCATCTGCACGTCTTCGAATGTGATGCGACCAGCAGAAGGCCACTCCTTTCCGACGTCCGTTAGGTGAAGAGGGGCCTCCTCTTCTAGCTGCGTGCCGTAGTGATTTACACGCTCGGCAGCATTCATATTGTTATCCACGTCAGCGAATTGTCGCACCGTGAATCCCAAGGACTGGGTTATGGAAACCACATATGACAAAACCAAGCCTGCGATGCTGGGCGAGACATCCAAGCGTGAAGTCACAACAAGGAGACTCGTCACCAGGATCAACAAGGTGCCAACCATATCAAGTCGGACCCCAAGCCATCGTTGGTTGGCAAAGGTCAAGAAATAAGCGCCATTCATGTCATCAATGGCATTGTGAATAGATCTCTTGAAGTGCTCTTCCGCTTTGTATGCTTGAATGCACGCAGAGCCTGCAATCGCCTCGCCGAATCGAGCGAATACTTTCGAACGGAGGACTGCCTCATGCCGCTTGAGGTTGCGAGCCGACGCACGGTAGTAGCTTGCTGCGAAAAGAAACAAGAGGATCAACGGTCCCAACGCTATCGCAAACTAAAGACAACATAGTCAGAACAGCACAGATCGCGGCTCCAGGAGTACTCACATAGTAGTAAAAAGCAATCACCATCCCGATTGTGGAGGTAATCTGTGACAACGTCAAGACGAACAGCCTAATCGAATCAGGTAGATCGCTGTCCATCACTTGCACATCCTTTGAGAAACGGTTGGTGATACGGCCCATTGGCGTAGTGTCGAAGAAAGACATAGGGGCTCGTAAGATCCGATACATTGCTCGTTGAAGCATTTTCTTGCTCGCATTGGCACCGACAATCGTCACATGCGCCGCAAACGCATACATTGCGACGAATTGGCTGCAACAAACCGCAATGTAGATCCCAACGTACTCGCCCGTGGTCAATCCAGAATATTTATTAGACGTCCAGAAAGACAACCAAAGTCCGGACATGACCAACGCGCCATTGACAACACAGATCAAGCATAGTGAAACAGGTACATTGAAATATGACCCCGATGCTTTGACGTAAGTTTTCAAGACATCCCACCCAACCGAGCCACTTGCCATGTCCTCCTTCTGCATCAAGGCACCACCTGGCACCCTTCGCGCGGTTTCGGGCTTTTCATCGGTAGTAGCGCTGGTGCTCGATGGTTCCTGATCCAAGGCGTCTTGCTGGGACGTTATAGACATTAGCCGCTTGAAGATGTCACTCGAGCGCGTCAAGTCTTCAAAAGTGCCGATCGCGTGGATCTTGCCATCCTCCATGACGATAATACGATCGCAACGTCCAAGTACATGCAATTGATGGGTGGCAAGCACCCGCGATCGGTCCTTGAGAAGGCCGCAGATGGCGTTGTCCATGATGTGGCGTCCTACATGAGCATCGACCGCTGACAAAGGATCATCCATGAGCACAAGCTCTGAGTCTGAATAGATCGCTCGAGCGATGTTCAATCGCTGCTTTTGACCACCGGAGATAGTGATGCCACGTTCGCCAATTTCAGTCTGATCTCCGTCCGGAAACATCGCCAGATCCGAACGAAGTGCGCATGCATCAATCACCTCGTTGTATCGATCCTCATCATACTCCCTTCCAAATAGTATATTGTCGCGAACCGTAGTGTTTTGTACCCAGGCATACTGTGGGCAATAGCCCCGAGTAGCTCCTATCCGAACACTCCCTGCTGTTTGTCTCATATCGCCCGCTAAGGCTGCCAGTAGTGAAGTTTTCCCGCTGCCCACTGATCCGATGACTGCGATCAACTCACCGCGGCCAATCTCAAAGTCCATTCCCAGTAACTGAAAGGGAGTCTTGGCGTCGGATTTCTGCTCCGAGTACGTATTGGATGAAGCTGGCTCCGTTTTTCCAGAAGCGATTGCAGCTTGACTGGGGCGGGGATTTGCTGGGCTTTCCGCAGAGTCGCGCACCCGCTCCCAGGTGAATGAAGCATGTTCGACCTCAACAGCGTTGGTCATCGCATAGTCCCAGGTTATGCTTTCTTCACGTTCCTCGGC